ATATCGGAATGGTTAGTAAAGATGATTCCGGAAATCGGACATTTGAAATTGGAAAAGAGGATGTGGTACTTCCTGGAGTAGAAGGTTCGGCATTGTTTTATTATGATTCCGATGGGAAAAAGTTTGTCAAATATGATAGAACCGAGAAATTGGATGATAAAACGAAAATTACTCAATGGATTATCGATGTGACTAAAGTGAATCCAATTGAAGGTCCATTATCTAAAAAGGGAGCTAAATTCGAACAGTATAGAACAGGTAAGAAGAGTAGGAAGAGTACCACTTCTTCAGAACCAAAGAAAATTCAACAGGAAGAGACTACCAGGAAGGTAAAGTCCAAATCTCAAAAGGCAACAACTGGTGATGCTAAGACTTTGGCACATGACGAATTGTAATTAACTTAAAATTAATTAGATACTAATTACACAATATATATACTCTATATGGGCCCCCCTCCTCCTTGTAATAAATCGTATTCTACACCTTTCCAAATCCATCCATCATATCCAACAAAGAATCAATATCATCTTCCTCCTTCTTCTCAACCACTTCTACTTCCTCCTTCTCTTTCTTCTCTTCATTATTCTGAATCCAATTCGTAACTCTTTCAACATATAATTTCGAATTAGGAACAAAATGCCCACCAGGATGTTTCAACAAATCCGAAGACCCTTTCGTCAACTCAAACAAACTCATAGCCCGAGATTCTTCAACAACAGTATCCAATTCTCCATAAACATGCAAATACTTAAAATGACTATTTATAACTTCTTCTTCAGTCTGGGGGTAATGTTCGTGATATTGGTCATTCCCGGCTTGTTTTGACGTGTCTAATTTAAATCCGGAATATAATATCACGAATTTCAAGGGATCAACTTCGAATAATTCATGGAATTTATGAGCAATGAGACCTCCAAAGGCTGCACCTTGTGAAAATCCAATTATACCTACAATAGGTAATTTATTCTCTTGTTCTATCTCTTCCGGCAGTTGTTGATTCATAGTGTGGTCATCGGGGTCGGATATGATTTGTCCATGGTTGATATAATCACGAATGGCCGCTATTGATTTTTCTAAATTGATTTTATTATTGGTGGAATCTTGTTTCACCCACCAGGCTCTATATGTCATATCATTGTCTTCCGAAGTTGTGACTGAACTGAATTTAGAAAGGGCGTCATTAGATGGTAGATCGGCTGGTGTGAGGACATATGGTCCATTAAGATAGATACATTTATAACCTAATTTCAATAACTTCTTACGTAAGGCTGATGTCTTGGCGTAGAAGAGGGATGCCGACTGAGTATATCCATGAAGGAAGAGGATCTTTCCTTTGTATTCTACTGACTTCTTGGGTGCCATGGGGTGTAATTAGTTGATAAAGAATTCAGAGTGGAAGAGATTAAAAAATTATTGCAAATTTCTTTTTTTCTTTCTATCAATAAAATCTATAAGCGCTATGAAAATTTAACTAGACTATGGGAGGAGGGATTACATATGGGATGGAGTAGATGGGTTTAGATAACTCTTGGTATATCACAGATATGATTAATGATTCTAATTTTAGATTTATCAGAATTATCACCATTTCCATAATATTTTTCAAAATCATGTTTTTGTTTAATATGTTCTAAATCAGATTCTTTTTCAACATAATGAATCACATGTCCAATACCTAAATCATAAGCAGATTTAACATTTAATTCACTATCATCAACAAAATATTGTTTTTGCATTGTAATTGGATCATTCCAATCAATTTGAGTTAATTTAAAACAATTATAAAAATATTGTTTCATTGGTTTACATATAATTGGAAATTTAGCATAATCACAAAATGTTAATCCATCAAATAAATCACCAACTCCTAAAAATGAAATTACTCTAAGGGCATGATTCTTATAAGCATTGGTAACTAACCAAAAATAATCAAATTTATGAGTTTCTTTTAATGTAATTAAAGTATCTCTTAAATGTTGATCATAATGTAATACACTATGTAAATCCAAAGAATCATCAACCTTTGAATTATAATCCAATGCATCAACTTGATGATTTCTGACTAATCCTTCAATAGCTAACCCATAAGTCTTATAATAATTCATATGTAATTCATGAGCATCATCATCATTTAATTCAAGACTATCTTTGAAATATGAATGGATCTTAACTTGCATCATATCATGAATTGGGGTTGAACGTTTATATAAACAATTATCAATATCAAAATAAAATATCTTCTTATTGGATAATTGTTTTGGTAAGGGTCCATATCCAAATGGTAATGTGACTATTGTACCTGGTTTATCATCATCGTGAGTAATCTCGGGGTTTTTATAAATAACTGATTGATCTGTTGCTATTGTCATAATGGAACGTAAATATAAATGTAAAAATTGGGAATGAGTAAAAGAAGAAAAAGATGGAAAGATTCTTTTTGTCAGGAATCTAATCATTCATATAAAAACCACGTTGGATAAAAAATGGCAAGAAACGGCGCTAAGTTTCTTTCGATGACACATTCAGGAATTCCAGTACTAAATTTTTATTTTTTTTCTTCTGCAACCCATTCCCGTTCTATTTATATATGATTTTAATTTGTGGAGTCTTTTTCTTCTTCGTTCTATTTTACTCGGCAATTGTCGATACCCCGTGCGCCAATTGTCCGAATCAGCCCAGGTGTCCCACCCCCACACAATTTAATTACACCCACGTCGATTCACACAACCCCAACTAACCACCACTATTCATCATCATTTGTCTTATAAAAGATATCACTCTTAACCAAATCCAATTCTTTATCAAGTTTTGTACACATATAATTCAAATCATGATAATTATCAGTTATAAACTTCACCAATTCTTGACGATTAAATTTTGATTCATCAAGATTGACTGAACCAACTTGTTTGATATTCATAAGGATATTCTTTCTCAAATCTTCTATTAATGATTTAATTCGATTTAAGTGACGAGAATTTTCTTCTCTTGTGGTTTGGAAATTGAATGGATGGATTAGGAGATATGGAAGATGTTTTATCTCGTAGTAGGATTGATAGATCTGATTTGCCATTTCATAGTTGCCCTTTTCGAGTTCTGTAAACATGTTTTCAAGGATTAGGCCCAGGGTTATTTTTTGAATCATGTTGTCAAATGTGTCGGGTTGAATGGGTTGGGAAATATCAAAGTCTGAGCCGAGAACCGAGTAATAGTTGAGTTTTTCAATTATACTTAAGACGTTACTTTGGATGGTGGTTGAAAAGACATTATTGAGAAGTCTTAATACGTTGAATTTAAGTTCATAATCCATTTTCTTAATTTTAAGAATTTCTGATTCTCCAAATATGTTTGTTCTTATATTATTCAAGATCATTGTAAAAGTCTTCACAAATTCAATATGTTGATCAGGATATAAGGAATTAATAATATTTGTAAATACTGATTTTATGAAATATTTAAGTCCCGAGTATTCTCGTTTATTAACATTGAAATCAGATATTATAAATATAAAACATTTCAAGAATTCATTATTAATAGGATCATTCCAACAACATAAATAAAAATTCAAAACTATTGCCAATCTGAACAATCCTAACTTTAAACAATTATTAAATTGGTCCATTTTGATAGGCACACTTTCCGACGATATAAACTCAACAGTCCCACCACATTTCTTCACTATCGATAATAATTCTTCATTGGATGATATTAATTCTTCATTGGATAACATTTCCACCGTCGTATCTCTATTCATTGAAATTAATTCATTAATATGCATTAATTGATCATGATTCTGAACCGATTCAAGAACACTAAACACAAATCGTTTAATAATAGTCTTTTTATGCACAAATTCCCATCCTGATTTCTTATCCCTCATAATCATCCCCAATAACGCTTGAGTTAATGGAAATCTCCCCGAATCTTCTTCTCCAAATTCAATACTCTTTATATCATTCAAAAAGAAGAAATGTCGAGATATCCCAAATCCATCGGATCGTTTATAATTCTGTCTCATCAAAGAATCAATAAGTTTTTGATCATCCTCAATTTTAAGATCGATAGGTTTCTTAGTCCATTCTTGAGTCCCATCAGAATTCAATTCCGCCACTAGTGTATTTTTCTGAGAATTGATATTGTCAACTTCTTGTTTTAAATTCTCGGTTTCTTGTTGTATAACTTGTCTTAATTCTTGCTCTTTTGAGAATATTTTCTCATTCTTTTCGGCATTGAATTGAAAGACTTTTGGAAGGGTGATATTGAAATCATCACCGGAATCAGAATCAGAATCGGAATCGGTGAAAAAACTACTATGAACACTTCTAGGCTTTCGAATTGATGCATTGTTAGGTTTCTTATGATGGGAATAAAACAGCGATGGAGGGATGGTTCTTTGTTGTGATAAAGGTTCTCTTGTTCCTTTTGTCGGTATAGTGGTGGATACTGGTGTAGGAGAAGGTTTTTGATATTTGGCTCTATTACCTGATATCATATTTAATATCGTGAATGGAATATCATCAATGTCTAATTCATCATCTGAAGATATTGGATCCAGATCTGTTGAAATACCTGCCATTATTGATTGCGATTTTAGGAAAAGTTCTTACTAGGGTGTCTTATAACTTCCTAGTTCAATGTTGAGTTTCCGTGATTTCTTGAATCTTTTTTTTTTCAGAAAAGGCGTCTGTCTCTATGCAGGAACATACCAATGGAGATTAAATTTGATAATTAGAGATAGCGAAATCTCCATTTGTAGGATACTGGCATATTTGTGACGTGTTTTGAAGATGCTGTCAAACCAAAGCAATGTGGAATAGAGTCATTTGACGTATGTAAGGCACTTGGTAAAGATTTTGGGTTCGGATATCGACGGTTGATGATTTCGTGATACGCGTTTTCATTTGATGCCATACCTCGATGTGGCAATTACCTGCATATAACTCACCCCATACAAAAGGCATTTTAGAGAGCTGGCCCTCCCCCCCTATTAAACAATTAGATTTGTGTAAACCACAATTGGGTCGCTTCGTTAAAAAAATTTATGTTATTTAAACCCCTTCTTTCTTCAATAATTACTAAATCAATTCCAAGATTATTAATTACCCAACGATATTCAATGTCTTCAAAATACGAAAAATTACCATTAGATCCATTTTTTAAAACCATTGATGAATTAAAACCAAAATTCATCGATAGGTTACGTAAAGCAATTGCCATCCCATCGGTATCATCTGATGAAGGATTACGTCCTCAAGTTGTTGCTATGGCCCATTTCTTAGTTGATGAATTGAAAACTCTTGGATTCCATGATATTCAATTAAAAGAATTAGGTACTCAACCTCCACCGGTTGTTGATGCTAATTTACAATTACCTCCAATTGTTTTAGGTCGTTTTGGTAATGATCCTGCTAAAAAGACGGTATTGGTTTATGGACACTATGATGTTCAACCTGCTTTAAAAGAGGATGGATGGTCTACTGAACCATTTACTATGTATCATGATGAAAAGAATGATATTCTTTTTGGTAGAGGGACTACTGATGATAAAGGTCCAGTATTAGGATGGTTGAATGTAATTGAAGCTCATAATAAATTGGGATGGGAATTACCTGTGAATTTGGTTGTTTGTTTTGAAGGTATGGAAGAAAGTGGATCACTTGGATTAGATGAATTAGTTGCTAAGGAAGCTAAAGAATATTTTAAGGATGTTAAACAAGTTACTATTTCTGATAATTATTGGTTAGGTACTACTAAACCTGTTTTAACTTATGGTTTAAGAGGATGTAATTATTATCAAATTATTATTGAAGGTCCAGGAGCTGATTTACATAGTGGTATTTTTGGAGGTATTGTTGCTGAACCAATGACTGATTTAATTAAAGTTATGTCAACTTTAGTTGATGTTAAGGGGAAAATTCAAATTCCAGGAGTTTATGATATGGTTGCTCCATTAACTGAAAAGGAAGATAAATTATATGATGATATTGATTTTTCAGTTGGTGAATTAAATGCTGCATCAGGATCGGAAACTTCATTACATGATAATAAGAAGGATATTTTGAAACATAGATGGAGATATCCATCTCTTTCATTACATGGTATTGAAGGTGCTTTTTCAGGAGCTGGTGCCAAGACTGTTATTCCAGCTAAAGTTGTTGGTAAATTTTCTATTAGAACAGTACCAGATATTGATTCTAAAACTTTAGATCAATTAGTATTTAAATATATTAATTCAGAATTTGAAAAATTAGGTTCACCAAATAAATTTAAAGTTGAATTAATTCATGATGGTAATTATTGGGTATCTGATCCATTTAATGAATCTTTCACTGCTGCTTCAAAAGCAACTCAAGATGTCTGGAACGTTGTACCTGATTTCACTAGAGAAGGTGGATCTATTCCAATTACTTTAACATTTGAACAAGAATTAGGAGTTGATGTATTATTATTACCAATGGGTAGAGGTGATGACGGTGCACATTCAATTAATGAGAAATTGAATGTTAGTAATTATATTAATGGATGTAAAACATTAGGTGCTTACTTACATTATTATTCAAAGGCTTAAGGTGTGCTCTTATCTATATAGATATATATATATATATATATGATTGTTTAATAAAGGGGTTATTATGTTTACTTATACTCTATAACTTGAGGTGGTTGCAAAAAAAAAACAATTGATCTAATTATAAATAAGAATTGGTTAAATAGGTCGTGTAAATTGTATCAAATATTTCAACAGAAAAAAACTTTTCTCTTTTTCTTTCTCTTTTCTTACTTCCTCTCTCTAGTAATTAGATTGTATGAAAGTTTTTCTCTTTCTCTTCCCTTTTTTTTTTTCTTAATCAAAACTTTTTAATTTCATTTTTCATTTAACCTACGAAGGGTATATATATTATATTACATTATATTATATATTTTACTACATTTATTACATTTACGATAGAAAGGATTACTTGACTTGTATACTATAACTTACCACTACTCTATTAATATTAAATTCTAATTAGCATTTTTACATTCTAATAGACTAGAGACAACTTCATACATTCAACACCACATCATCATCATCATAAGCAAATATCATAATGTCGGATAACTTAAAGAGAGCAGAATCATTATTCAATAGAATTATGAATGTATCATCACCATCTACACAAGAATCAAAGAGAGACACTAGAACAACTAATACAAATACCAACACAATGAAATCTTCTAGAATGTCTCCTTCATCTTCTTCTAATTCATCCAGCATCAACACAACAACAACAACAGAAAAGAGAGGTTCTAATGGTGCTATTCAAGAAGTATTATTACCTAAAAGAGATCCAATCAAATTATCAGATGAAACACTCGCATCTATTCCTCAAGATCATCATATCTTACCTTATTGTTGGACTATATGGCACCATTCAAGATCTCGTAAAGCACCACAACCTACAAAGGATACCGATAGCACTACTACTATCACGGAGGAACCTGAAGAAACTGCGTCAACTGCAATTGTACCAACTGGTGTCGATACATATTTACAAACTACTAATGAATTAGAATTTTTGGATTCTCAAGGTCATACAATTTCAAATATTGGATCCTTGGAACAATTATGGTTATGCTTATCTTCAATTAAAAAGACTCATGAATTATCAATTGGCACGGAATTTCTTGTATTTAAATCAGGAGTGAATCCTGTATGGGAAGATCCAATAAATTCTCGTGGTGGAAGATGGGTTTTCCGATTTAATAGAAAAACATTTGGTGAAGATAAAGAATCAATTGGAAAAATTAGAAAGAGGAGTAGTTTAATTTGGGAAAGATTATTAATTAAAACATTAACTGGATCTCTTATTCCTGAAAAATCTAATAATGAAGAAATTCAAGAATTATTATTAAGTGATATTTGTGGATTAGTATTAAGTGTTAGAAAAGATGAAGATATTATAAGTATTTGGAATTCAAATATTAATTTCCAAAATACTTCTAATAGAAATAAAACTAAAGATGATGATACTCAAAAGAAAAAATTAACTTCTTTCCAAGCAAGAAGAATCATTTGTGATAGTATCTTACGGGTAATTCGTGAATGTGATTTAATCAGTCAAGGTAGTGATTGTGTTGAAACTTTAGATAGTGGATCAAATGAAAGAGTCTTTGGTGTATCTTTTGAATATAGATTACATGCAGATAATGAAAATACTCCCGGTGGAACAAGTAATGGTAAACATGGCCATCATCATGGTTATCATGGACATCATGGACATTATAGTAGTGGAAGTGGTAGTAGTGGTAGTGGCCATGGGTTTGGGCTGAGAAGATATAATAAGAACTATAATAAGACCCCCTCTGACAGAGATACCGAAGAAAAGCAATAAGGAAAGTGGTCACTTGATTGTATAGTTTTTGTAATTAGTAAAAGGATATTTTAAACAGAGTTAAAAAATATTGTGTAATATGTTTGTAGAGTCAAGAAATGCATGAGGAGTGTAAGTTTGGAGTATTTTCAATGAGGGAATTCACTCTATTTCTATAGAATCTGGAGATAAGAGCTGCGTGTAAATTCGATTCGATGTTGATGAAAATGGACATACGTTTCAGTTATGTAAATATTAGGAAGCATGAACAATATCGTTTTTCTTCAATATCCATGTACAAATAGCTATCCGTTAGAATTAGAACCTTCTCTCTTCCGTTCTCTAAACACCATGTATTGATTGGGTGTTCGATAATGGGTCACATCTATCAGATGCCATCTTTCTACAACATTCTCTCGCAAAGTACGGCAGGAAGATTCCCCACCTGATATTTGATTACGCATTCCGAGGCCAATTCAAAGAAACAGGAGCCAAAGATTCCTCATCCATCTATTGTTTGTTCCGAGTAAGAAATAATCAAGAATATTAATGATAAGTATCATTTATCTCAAATTGAAGGACTAGCAATAACTTTTAATGTCGATATCTCTATAGATCAATCCTTAAGGGGCTTTTAGGGGTTTTTCGGAGATAGAAGTTTCCCAAAAAAAAAAAGAAATTTTCGGATTACGAAATTTGGTCACGTGACTCGGGCGAGTGGGGAAAAATAAGGTTTTTAAGAAGCCGGTCTAGTATAGTGGTAAGTACGATTCGTTGTGGCCGAATAAACCCAGGTTCGATTCCTGGGACCGGCATATTTTTGCTTCTTAGGGGTTGGTTTTTTGATATTAGAAAGGGAACTATGAATTTATTGATTGGTAAATATCATATAAATACTATGTAGAAGGAGGAAGATTGGTTCTCCTAAATTTTTTGGGGTGGGAAAATCTTGCAAGAAACCCCTGGGGCAGGGGGGCAATATACAACAACTTGATCTTCGGTTGTGAGAATACAAGCTTGATTCTAATATTCTTCAACATTATTATCTGTATCCGTAACCTTACATCCTTCAATCTTTATTAAAATCAAAGCATTATCAGCACATTCAATATAATTCTTAGCTTGATTCTGATCAATCATGGGATTATTCAAATGTAAAGATTTATAAAAATTAAAATCATCAGCATTTGCTTCTCGATCAATTATACTTGCTTTCCCATCCAACATCACCGAAACTCGACTAATTTCACTCTTATTGAAATTTGCAAGTAATTCAAAAAGTGAATTCCGTCTTTCTGGAACATTTTCTTGATCATTGGGGGCTTTTGTACCTTTGACTGAAATCCAATCATGGATGAGGATGGAAACGTTGGGGTTTGATTCCATGTTTTGATATTTGGTTGTTCTCTTGGGGGTGGTGATGATGATGATGTCTTCTTGTCCCTTACGGAAGAATGTATAGTTCATTAAGGAGACATGGGGTTTGTTATTTAAACAAGTGGCTAAGTGGATAAATCTACTTGATTTGAGTAGATTGAGGACTGAATCTGGTAATTGATCGTGAGGTAACATTGTTCCTTTAAGTTGTTTGATGGTTTGGGATAAAGTTGGTTGGTATTAGTCAAAGATTATTTAATTTTGGAAAATTGAGATTTTTTTAGAGAGTGCTCCCACCGCACCCCACCCCCATCGTTTTTTTTAACTTCGGACTGTTATTCCTATGGTAATATTGGATTACATCTATAAATTTCTACAATAAACCTATAATTACATCTACTACTACTACAATTGAGTTAATTTCTTATAAATATTCAGATCTTGTAAGCTATCTCTCAATTCATCCAAAGTGACATCTAATTGAACCATTTTATTCTCTTCAATAATCAAATTCTTATGTAAATTGACATTATTAATAATATGACCTTCACTATTTGTAGTTACACCTCCTGAATCTAAAAGTAAACCCATTTTATAAATATTCTCCCAACAATTACCTAATACTTTTTCTGACCAGATTTTCTGATTAATTCTAAGATTATTTGTAAGTCTACTTTCTGTTGATGTAGAACTTGTGATATTTACATTAAAATTCTTCATCATTTCTTTATATTCTAAATAAGCAAGATTGAAATTAATAGTTTGTAATTCGAATTTCTCAATCCACCGAGCAGCAGCTATAACCATTAATAATTCCAAGTTTGATAAGGATTGAATTAGTCCTTGAACATTGTTAGTCATTGAATGTAATGGATAAACAGCAAAATCCTGAGCGTTAGGATATGGTTGGGAGGTTGAAATACGTGAAATGGCTAATCTACAACTAATATTAAAATCTCGATAATCCTTAATTGTATAATAATTTCTTGCCACAAGTTTCTTTAAAATACCATCTTCGGCATTGTATAATTCTTCGATTTTGTCATTCCATTCTTCACCGTAGGTTGGTTCTGATAATGCTTGTATTTGTGTCTCACCTAATATGAGTCCCAATCGGGCATTTCTCCAAAATTCTTCTAGACTGGTTTCATGAATTATAGAAATAACTCTTTGAGAAAATCGACTATTGACTCTTTTCTCAAGTAATTCTCTTGCCGTTATCTTGGTAGAAAGTCCAACTACACAGATTGGAGTTTTACCATTCTGAGCAAGATCCAAAAGATTATATAACAATGTTTGTTTATGACTCATTGCAAATTTTTCAAATTCATCAATAACAAAAACAATTGATAATCTTTCTGATTTTTTCACGGTATCATCTCGATCAAGAGTCTCCAATATATTAGCAAATGTTTCATTTATGGATTTTTGTTCAAATAGATTTGATTCATCTGAATCTAATACATCAACTTCTTTTAATTTTACATCTAATTGTTTTGCAATTTCTCTCAATGCAACATTATCAGCAGTATGAACCATGGCATTTAATCTAATTGCAACAAATTCATCCTTATATTTCTCTCGTAATTCTGCAATTGCAAGATTAGCCATTGAAGTTTTACCACAGGATCTAGGACCAATTATTAGGGCTGAATGACCTTCTTTATCTCGTATTGTCAGTTCCAATATTTTATAAAGGTCGGCATATTTGTCAAAGAGACTGGAATCTTTAAGATTGGCAAAATTTCCATTCAATTGAGAAAGTATCTGTTGTTTTATGAACTTAATATCATGTTCCCTTGATATTTCATCAATAATTGAGCTTACGGGAACATGATCGACTTCAATTGTGTCTGGATTTGTTATGATTTCTTCATTATCCGACGTGCTTGCAGCGTCAGGTACTGGATCATTGTCCTTTTCAGGATCGGGACTTTTCGATGAATTTGTTATTTTTATATTTCGAATTAAGTCATACTTCTTCGAGTTTTTTATTTTTAAATTACGAATATCAAACTTCTTTTTTGACCCTTCTCTTTTGGTCGGCTTTGGTTTGAAAATTCTACCTATTAATTTTGAAGCTCTGGAGGCTGTTGTTGTTGACGATGATGATGATGCCTTGTTGTCATCTCTTTTGAATCGTTGATAGAATTCATCTTTTCTTAACTCTTGTGATGAAAGTTCTTTGATTGGACCAAACTCATCAGCAAAGTCATCTTCGGGGATCTGGTTCCTAGCCATAATGTGTTTCAGGATCTGGTGATTGGGTCTTGGCTCTTACTTTTTATTTACAAGCTCGCGTGTAAGAAAATTAAATACAACCAATGAATAGATTTAAAAAGGGTAGTACCATAACCTGATATTTCTCTGGTGTCTAGAAATTTGTTTACTGAGTGAGAGAAATCAATCATCAACAATGAGACAACCAAGAAACGAAGCACGCTACCAAAAGAAAAAAATTGGGACAAGAAAAAACTTGTTGCAAAAAATTAAAAAAAAAGAATCTGAAACAAGAAATGCAACATTTAACAAGAATTGCTGTTTTCGGATGACTCCGTTCATTGACATCTTTGAAACAATCTTCTTACGTTGAACCGCTTCTCTGTTTCAATGGAACAACATAGCCTGTATCTGATTTTCTTTTTTTTTTTAAAAAAAAAAAAGAATAAATAGTGGCCATCTCTTTCCTCTCATTTCTTCCTTTCTTTCTAAACAACCTTCAGATATGACATCCACTCTATCAATGCCTTCTAAAACTATTAAGAAAACCCTTCTGTTAGCTTCCTTAACTTCAGAAGGAACAGTTGGAAAAGTTTCAGTTCACTCGGAAGGTACGATGGTAAACCCACAGTCAACATCCGATCAATCATCACAGACAGCTGTAATTCATGAAGAAGAAGCAAGAAGCTTTCATCGTACTTTGAATGGAAAAATCTTTCAAAGAGATATTAGAGATATCTTTGCCATGCTTATATTAGGACTTGAATTAAAGGAATCAAAGTCAAAAAAGTTCACTCTTTCCAAATCATATCCGTTCTCCTTCACAATCGAAGATGCCTTAGAAAAGATGAAGGATCTTAATATATCAATAGAATTATCCAAAACAGTAGCCAGCTTTTCCTATAAATTTCCACCTGATGTAGCTTTAACTTTATTAGACCGGTTTTTCCTTGCAAAGCTTATTCATTGTCCTGCTGATAGAACTCGATCAACACCCAAGCCTCATGTCTCTTTGCAGCCAACTCCAAAGGGACTTGCTTTGGTGCAAACTTTTTATGACAGAATTGCCCTGAAGGCTTCAGACCATCCTGAAGTTTTGCAAAGTAATTTGAATACAATGGATTTATTCCTTTTTGATAGAGATCTTCTGAATGATAGAATTCTTTATTCAAGATATTTCATCCATTTGCTTTTCGCAACCTTAATGGGTCCAAAGCCAAATATTTGGACACCAAATGCTGCTCCCGATCCTATTCCAGAACAAGGAGCAAAACCCTCATCTCCAACTCTATTTGCTTGTGGATATAATGGAGAACAAGGATTTAGCTTTCTGCAGTTCCAGATTGAGAAATCAGAGGGGATGAAGCTGACTCATAAGAAAGATTCCAAATTGGACGAACCTAGAATAAGTCCTCTCTATCATAGATACTTTACCAACCCAGAATCAGGCTCACATGTCCAATATTATGTTTCAGATGTCGGAGTAAGATTATGTAAGGATAAAACTTTCACTTTCAAAGAGCCAAATGTTACTTTTGAATATAGTGTGAGTGGAAAAGCGATCCATCAATGGTTAATGGATTGTACTGATATTCTTAATCCTTCAGATGCTTGTCAGGTAGCTGGATGTCTCATATCTACCGGTTTGATCAAAAATGTAAATCCATTAGGGAAACAAGGGTTCGTACCGGAAAGAGACCTGTTCTATAGATTGACTAAACTCGGCCGCAAAGTGTGTCAATGGGATAAAGATCAAGCCAAAAAACGTAGCACTTCAGTGTCAGAATTTTTGAAAAACCCAAAGAAAACAGTTAAAGAAATTAAATTGGGAGATATATTGAAAGACCCAGGTACGAGACTTCAATTTAGAAGACATTTGAATAAAGAATATTGTTTGGAGAATTTAGATGCTTATTTACAATTAACTGAATTTGCAAAAGTTTATGAAAGTGTTGAAAATTTACAAAACCTCAGACTTAAGCCTAGTCAAGAATCAATTGTTAAACGGATAGATACCCAATTAGAAACTTTAAGAAGTACTTGTTTATCTACTGCTTATCAGATTTATATTACTTTCTTAAGTCCTGAAGCTCCATTTAATGTCAATATTGATTATAAACTACGTGCTGAGATCGCTAATCTAATGACCTATTCCAAAGCTTCAGAAGCTGAAGAGAGTCCATTTGATACTCCGGTACCCTCACCAACTGACGAAAAGGATGTGCTGAAAGACAATGATGATTGGCCAGTTCCAGCTAAAGAGGAAAAGACTGAGACAAGTAGTGCTGAAGAAACTCCAGATATTAAACAAACATTGAAAGATATATCACTGCTTTTTAATCAAGTCAGTACCCACCTTTATAGATTAATGGAATCTGATTCCATACCCAAGTTCGCTTCTAGTTCACTAGTAGATAACTTAGTATACTAAATAGCTCCTCTTTTTAGCACATTTTAATTAAATTAATTTTGTTATATTTTAAAATAAAAATATGCAATATACACTTTTAGAAAGAACTATAAACACCCACGAAATAACAACCAAAGAAAAAGTCTAAGCTATTGGTTCTAAGGTGGTACCTTTCTTGATAGTAGCCCAACCAATTAAACGCCAATGCTTTTCGATACGTCTAGATAAGGCAATCTTTTCATTGACCTCAGTACATGCAGGAGAAGTTAATTGTAAACGGGCCATATCAGCTTTAACAGCAACAACTCTGGCACCAGTGGCGGTGGAACCAATATTAACCATCAACACTTCACCAACTTCCAATTTACGAACCTTAGCACCTTGTTTTTGACCTTCAGTCTTAACACCCAATAATCTTCTTAATAAGAAATAGTTAATTTCAATGTCAGTATAAATAGAAGGTAAGTTACCTTTAGCACCAACAACTTGACCAACCAATCTATCAGCTCTACATAAAGTAGGATCAACCTTGGTACCAACACCGATCAACCCACCTGGAACTGCAAACTTCAAATCATTATGTTCAGCAAATAATGAGACAATATTGGAGAAAATTGGTTTACATTGAATCTTACCATTATCATCTTTGGTAACAATACCTGGTCTAATCTCTATTTCATCGCCAATCTTGAAGACACCGGTTAAGATAGAACCACCAGCAACACCACCCTTCAAGTCATCAACATCGGCACCTGGTTTATTAACATCGAAAGATCTAATGACAATTAATCTTGGGGAAGCAGAGAAATCTCTCATTGGAACTGGAATATAATTAACAATAAATTGATTAACTGCGTCAATATTATATTTCAATTGAGCTGAGATTGGAACGATTGGTGCGCCATCAGCAATAGTACCTCTAATAAATTGAATAATAGATTTTTGATGTTCCAAGGCAGATTCTTCTCTCATTAAATCAACCTTATTTTGTAAGATGATAACATGTTTTAATTTCATAATTTCAATTGCTGCTAAATGTTCGGAAGTTTGTGGTTGTGGACAACTTTCATTACCGGCAATAAGTAACAATGCGGCATCCATAACGGCTGCCCCTGACAACATAGTACTCATTAAAATATCATGCCCTGGACAATCAACAAATGAAACATGTCTAGTTAATTTATAACGACCAGTACAACCTGGACGAGCACATTTTGGTCTGATTTCTTTATCAGATTTAAATGATCGGTAACAATCTGGTTCTGGACATTCTTCATTGTCACATCTATAGATCTTGGCATTAGCATAACCTAATTTAATAGTAATATTTCTTTCTAATTCATCCTTAAAACGAACAGTTTGAACTCCAGAAATGGCTCTGACAACGGTGGATTTACCATGAGCGACATGCCCAATAGTACCGATATTAATAGTAGCTTGTCTATTGATAATTTCAGGTGACAATGGGGTCAACTGACTAAAGTCTGGGTTTTCTGGTTGTTCTGGTAATCCACCACCTTCTTCAAATTCTCTCTTGGCTTCTTCTTCATCCACTTCATCATCTAAGCCTGCGAATGCAACAGATTTCTTTCCCTTAACTGGTTCTTCTTGTTGTTGAGTCACATCTTCTTGTTGTTGTAATTCGTTATCACTTTCGAGATCATGTTCATATTGGAATTCTTCGTCATCTTCCGGAAGAGTGCTTCCAATGACTATGTCTGGAGTGGCGTTTTCAATATCGTCGTAAGACATTTTTATCCGTTTTCAATTAGACTGTTTCTTGACTTCTTTTAGTAAGAGCTTCACCAGATGATGATGATTTTGAAATTTTTTTTTCTGTCTGTCTGTCTGACTGATTTTGTTGTCTGTCTGAATTGTGTAATAGAAAAAAAAAATTTTAATGTGTGAAGGGTTATATGCACACCAATTGGTAGTGTAAAAGTTACAAAATTTATACATAGATTAATACATATTATAATACAATTAAATTAAAATTAAAGAGCATGGAAACCAAAGTCATTCATAACGCTGTCAACATCCTTCCATAACATGTCGTGGTCAAAGCTATCCATATCCAAATTCTCCAATCCAAGTTGAATGGGGGAATCATTAAATACCATTTGATTAAATGGTTGATTGGGAGCGTTCTCTTGTTGATGTGGTTGCGAAGGTAAAGTTTCAACTGGACGATTTCCCATTGGAGAGTTAATATTCTTTGGCTGTTGCATGTTGGCTGGATTATAGGGTGATCTAGCAACATTTGGAGAAGTCTTGTCCACAACTTTTGGAGATGAATCAGTTGAACTTGATGTATTAACCACCTTGAATATCGAACTTCTCTTGGAATTACCTACAGATATAGGTTGTGGATCCAATGGGATCGTACGAATAATCTTTCTAGCTTGTGATTCTGCATCAACAGTACTTGACAAAGATCTAGCCTTTCTTACTCTAGCTGAAGAAGTTGTACTTCCTGGAGTAGATTTTTGACTGGTTACACTTGCTGCACGACCCTTTTCTGATACTTCATTATCTGAAACAACTGCCTCTTCTCCACTTGAACTTTCATCTTCATATGAACCATTTTCTTCTTCTCCAAGCCCTGCATCTTCTGCTTGCTTTTCATCGGTTTTACTAGTCAACTTTGTTATTCCTGCTTGAGCTCTCATAAGATTCAAACAATCAAAGAAAACTGATGCAGACATTCTATTTCTCACGGAAATACTCAAGCTTGACATTTTCTTTTCATCTAAAGTCCTAAAGAGTTGCCACATATTTCTGGTGATTGCACTGGATCTATATGCCATATCATGCTTCAAAATGGATGCCTTTGCTGTCAATGATACAACAGCAAGATAATTTTGCTTACCCGAACCAACATCTATGACACTTTTCAACCTCAGATGAATCAATTTCCCAATTATACATCCCGCCTGCCAAAGATTCAACATATACACCCCAGGCAAATATTTGACAAACATTTTGTCCCTAGTCTGATTGATTACAGTATGAGAAACCAACTCACTTGCAGCATTATACAATTTCACCAATCCTTTATTCAATTCAAATTCCGCAATATGTGATGAATCCATGAAATAATAAGTCAATAAATGGACTTTTGTACACAATAATTGGAATTTTCTTACAGAATCATTTGGAAGTTCTCTAGCCAATTTCTTCTCCATTTCAGCCAATCGTTTGGAAAGAAGTTTCAATAATGGTAATCTCTCAGTTGCATTCAATAACCCATCCCCTTGATTTGAATTAAGTGATTTGGCCATCTGTTCTTCAAATTGTGCAAGCTCCATCATAAATAGAACAACCTTTGGCATGTTCTGAGATTGTGAGGAGAATGATGAATCAAATTGAACACATGCCGGGAATCCAAATGCTGTGGCGATAGTTTGGGAGGCGATGTTACAAAAAATCCAAGTTTTTGCTTTTTCATAAGCCATTGCTAGTTGTTGTTGATTGGTTTCCATGTTGGTATTATTGGCGGTAGTACATGATGTATTTGGGAATGAGGATGTATGGAGCCCGATCCTAATAGCTTGGAAAAATCCAGTTGCTACTGTAGAATATGATGAGTCGGCACTTAAGGAGGATGTGATTGGTGGCCAGTATGAATAAAGTAAAAATGCTTGGGTTGAATAAACTGAACTAACGTTAAGAATGGGCTCGTCTTCTTCGAATGGGTTATATCTAGTAATTGGAGAAATCATAATTTCGGCCAATACGCTTTTGACAAGTGGGGATAATTGAATCAAAAGCGATGCATCTTCATAAAATCTTCTTAAGGATACAAACATAATTACCCAAAATAATGCCGGACATAATTTATAGATTCTCTCTGGTCCTTTAGTCACATCCACCACGGGCAAAATTGGATGATAATGTTCAACATATTCCAAATATAATGATTTGATGGTCTCTGGGGATAATGTTACTGTATCAAGTGATTTCGTGTCACATGTCAAAGCCGAATCCGGAATCCTTAGAGGTTCATCTGGATCTATTGGTCTAATTCTGGGAGCTTGTTGTGGTATTGCAGGTTGTCGTGGCACGATCGGTTCAAATTGTCTTGCTATCAACGGTGTATCTGGAATGGAAGTATTTGTATCTGAAGATGAATACCTCGATTCTTGAGGATATGGTGAATGATCTGAATTCCATTGTTGTTGAGGTCTCTGCATATTTGCTTTATTGTTTCCAACATAGGGTTGTTGCTGAGGTGTTGGAGGAAATGGATATGGTGGTGATTGAGCAAAGCTTGCGGGAGAGTTTGCATACTGTGACTGATTGTAAGGTGAATTTCCAGCAGTTGCAGGATATTTGGGCCATCCACTTTGACTGTGTCGTACAGCACTACTAGTTCCTCTTGAATATTCGGCAGGAGAAGCTGTTAGACCGTTTATAGTAGCCAATGAAGGTGCTTTGTTTAGTAACTCGACTGCTTGTGATGATGTAAGCGTTTTCTTTAATTCGCTAAATTCCTTCTCAATTTGGGCAATTCGAGCACGTTTATAAGTTCTCTTGTAGTCTGATTTTAGATCACACTTTAAGCCTTTCTTGGAACACCGGGTACATGGATTAGGATGCTTTTCATGAGCGTCACATCTTGATTTTTGTTGTCGACATTCGACACATGCCATTCGTTTTGGTTTGCCAGATTTTAAAGTAGGTGCAGGTGGAGAAGTTGACAGTGAAGGTACCAAACCTGCCGAGTGTGAAGGATCGATAGCTGGCATAGGCGCAAGTATATGATGGTGTGGAGATGTGTTAGAGTGGGTGAATGAGTGTGCAGGACTTGGTTGTTGCTGTTGTTGCTGGTGTTGCTGTGGTGGTTGTAAGGCAGGAGAGTGAGACTCCAGTTTCACTGGTTGCATGTTATTAGCTATATGAGCTAAATTCCCTAAAGGATTCGACTGAGGGCCATTACTACTCATGATGACTATGGTGTATGCCCCTATTTGTCTGATAGCTTATCTAATTTTGATAGGTGATATTTGATATCTATTATGTTATGATTTTACGTAAAGAGATCTAAAAGTCCCAAAAAAAAAAAAATCTTAAACAGAATTGGAATGCCTTACGGAACGAGAAAAAAAAATCACTACGGCATCTCATTTTCCCTACAGCGGGAAATTTGAAACAATGGAGATCTTTTTTTTGTGTTACGTCCACCAGCGGGGGTCAGGTGACGGTGAAACAATACGCCACTGATAGTTTGACCGTAGCCTCTTTCTAACCCCAAGATAACATCCCACTATCGATCCAGTCCAAATCAAAATTTGAGTTGTTGTTCCCAAAGAGCTTTAACATTGGTAAGAAATTCATTTCTGTAATCGCGTCTGTCACAAGTTTCACTTTTATGTTATCACTGTTCTCGCTATTCTTGTCATTCTCATTCGAGAATGATGACGCGTTTGGATAATACTTCATGAAGAAGTCGTACATCACTGTCTTGGGTACGTTTTCAGGTAAATCATTCACTGAGACGTATACATTTAAAACCGATCTCATCTTGGCCACATAAACTGCTAAACTGATCAAAATATCCAAATCCTGGAAATTATATCCATCCAATTCATTCACAATACCACCCAATGACGATCCCATAGTTGGATTGTTGAGATTTTCAAATTCTATTTCACCCATGGATAAGATGTATAAATCTCTTTGCATGAGTGTATTCCACAAGATGTAGTATGATTTTGATTGATGATGATTAGTAAGGATTGCTCCTTGAATATTTGTGTATTCGATTACCAGCGGAATATCGGCATGAAGCTTCTTAGCCGAGTATTGTTCTAACAAAACATTCCACCTGAACGTATCATACGAGGGTTTGAGTGCTAATTTTGAAATGGACTGCGTGTGGGCAGCAGGTGGCGTGTTTGGAGAATTTTCTTCTAATGCACAGGAAAGTGGTGTTGCTGAGGTACTCTTCGAAAGAACTAGGAGATCAGTTAGGTTTGTAAGCGATGTGGCTGATTTATGTGGGGTTTCTAATTCCAGATGATAATTCAATTTGTTTAGTTCTGTTACCATCTCCAATTCTCGGGTTTGCAACATGAACTTAATAAGTTCTTGATCTGCCTCGTTGTCGCCCCGAATAAGCTTCAATTCTTTACCAAGGGATTTGGCTGAAGCATGCTGTTCATTCTGAATCAATTGTTTGACAATTGCTTCTTGTCCCTCGGACAATGGATTAGTCAATGGCAACTCATAAAAATCTAAAGGATAAGCTTTGAATCCAAATCTCTCATAATAAGTTTGAACCCCTGAATATAACATCCAGAAGTATTCCTTACTTAAATAATCATTGGCCAAACTCGTATCAACGTCCCCATTGTCGTCAAGTACCAATCTCTTGAAGTTATCAGGCTTTGTTTCGTCGCTTCTTGTGATTGCTTGTTGAATAATCAGATTTTCAGTGTGTTCGATTGCTCCAGAAACACACTTTTGAGCCAACCCATTTTTTCTATAATCCTTATGAGTAAATACATATGCAATCAATAAAACAGTCACATTTTTAACTCCAAACAAGTTTGGATCGGGAACTGAAGATATGGTAGGAGATTTATCTCCAGGTTTATAAAACCCGTCAACAATTCTAACACAAGCGCATGCTACAACTTTGTTGTTTTTCGAAGTATCTTGAATGACAAATGTCAAAAGCTTATCCTTATTCTTATCAACATATTCGAGGTGGTCTTGTTGCATGATCTCACCAAATTGTTCAGGTGTTAACTGTCCACTCCATTCACTTCCGCAAAGGGTATAGAGTTCCTTGATAATTCCAGGATCATCAGTTTTAACGAATTGGAATTGAGATGCGGAGTTGTCTTCTGTCATTTTGAGTCGATTGATTGATTTGCTTAATTCATGTTTTAAGTAAAAACCAGTGTGGGGGGATCAGCTCCTTTAAAAATACAATCTTATTGAAAATCTTAAAGTTGCTGTATGTTACTCGATTTGCGCTTCAATTGTTTAAAGAACAATTCTTGGGTATAATATCGATTGTTCAATTGTTATCCATAAAGGGAAATTGATGATTGTTTGACGAGATACTCCATAAATTGAAGAGATCAACCATTGTTTTAAAGAATTTTCTGTTTCCTGGATTTTCATCTGAATTTATTTTTTATTGTTTATTTTTCAATTTTTTCAGATTCTTCGATGACGTATCAAATTAATCGAATTTCCGATAGATTAAAGAATTCCAAGTTCCCCATAGTTATATGACCATTTCCCTTCAATTCCTCATATGACTGAAATTTCATTTTAACAGACCATCGGAAGTTTCCAATTATGAGCCACGTCGTAAAATAACAATAGACTAATGGATCCGTTTTTCCGGTTTGCAGTTTCTTTTCTGTTTGGGCATTTCTTTTTTTGTAGTTGCAAGATTTTGCGCTTTTGTGGCATGGTTTTTGTCCTACCGGTTTCTTTTGACATCGGTCCACCAACACCCCTGAAAAGAACCCAAATTTCTTTTTTTGAAAAAGTAAGGGCCGGATAATTAGCGATTCCGGAGAAATTACAATAGTCATACTCGTAATTGCCCTATATCGAAGATGGCTTATTGGCTATCGGCTGTGCTTTTATGGGTATAGTATTCGCTGTGACTAACCATTTTAACTTTTTCGGTGGAGAGGTGAGACTCATTTAGATTTAGAAGTGAGTCATTTAACTGAATGTACAATTTGATTCAATGGTTCTCGTGCGAGTAGAAGAATAAGGATAATAAGAAGGGGGAATAAACATCCATTTCATCAAAATATAAGGCATCCCTTACCATTTAAGATCGAAAGAAAACTCCTCAGGCAACAATTCCTGTCAAACTTGATTACTTATTGTTGATTGTATCTCTCTGTCTTTGTTACTGATTTGGGTTTGTAATTACATTAAGGGTTTATCAGCTGTTTTAACTTCTATCTCTGGCAAACCATACAAGGCTGTATCTTTGTGACACACCGGTATCTACTGATTGACTTTGGGGTCTGCAACCGGCCAGCGGATTTTTCCTGTTTGGATATAAATCCGGTATATAAGCCGTCTTATGTGGCGTTTTCCATATTTTTTTAATTGCTTTTGCAGGTTGCAATTGCCGCAAAAAATGACCTGTATCGGAAAATTGAAACTTTTCTAAAAAGAAAGATTAGTCAAAGATTTTCATTTCAATGACCATATATAAATTCAAGAGAATCCTTATATTAAAAATGATAAGAGTCATACCTTTTTAAAATTCTTCAATTCAACTTTACGTAAGGATGGAAAAATCAAATAATTATAAAGGTGACTCTATGGAATCACCAAATACTTCATCATTAGATAAGAGCACTGAATTTTCAGAAGTTGCCTATGAAACGTCGTCATCCACTCAACCTAATGCCTGGACAAATTTTAAAGACTCATTCAAAAAGCCAGTAGAACAAGAAATAACCACAGATTTGGAAAGCGATGGAACACGAAAACCTGCTCCAGCGTTGAAACAAACACTTAAAAAGAGACAATTACAAATGATCGCCCTTGGTGGTTGTGTCGGTTCTGGTTTGTTAGTGGCTTCTGGTTTAGCCTTAAGAAATGGTCCTGCTGCTGTGTTAATTGCTTGGGCTATCGTATCGTCCTTCTTATATTGTACAATGCAATCATTAGCTGAATTATCAGCTGCTTATCCTGTTTCAGGGTCTTTTGCTACATATTCTATTAAATTTATAGACCCAAGTTGGGGTTTTGCTATGGGTTGGAACTATGCCTTATTCTGGGTTATTGTCTTGCCATTGGAATTGGTTGCTTGTGCAATGACTATCAACTACTGGCAATCAAGTGTTAATACTGCTGTTTGGATTGCTATATTTTATGTTGTTATCTACGGCTTGAACTTATGCGGTAACAGAGGTTTCGGTGAAACTGAATTCTATGCATCCATTATTAAGTTATTAGGTATTGTCGGATTCAATATCTTGGCTATCATTCTAATTTGTGGTGGAGGTGATCAAGGATATATTGGTGTCAAAAACTATCACCCACCATTCACTACTGGTTTCAAGGGTGTTGTTTCTGTTTTATTAACTGCTACTTATTCCCTTGCCGGTACAGAATTAGTTGGTTTAACTTCTGCTGAATCTGAAGGAAACCCAAGAAAAGTTATGCCAAAGGCCATCAAACAAGTTGTTTGGAGAATTATTATTTTCTACATGCTTACTTTAACCTTGATTGGTTTCCTCGTGCCTGCAGGTTCCCAAGAATTAATCGGGGGTAGTGGTGTGTCTGCTTCCCCATTCGTCATTGCTATTAGACAAGGTGGAATTAAAGTCCTTCCATCCATCTTCAATGTCATTGTCTTGGTCGCTCTTTTTGCTATTGGTAACTCTGCCGTCTATGGTTTCTCAAGAACCATTTTAGCTTTAGCTGAACAGGACCTTGCTCCTTCCATATTTTCCTATGTTGATCGTAATGGTCGTCCTCTTGTCGGAATTACAGCCTCAGCCATCATTGGTCTTTTATCCTTTGTTTCTGCATCCAAATACGCCGATACCGTTTTTGCCTGGTTAGTTGCCCTTTCTGGTCTTTCTACCTTGTTCACTTGGGGTTCCATTAATGCTGCTCATATCCGTTTCAGATGTGCTATGAAGGCTCAAGAACGTTCACTTGATGAATTGCCATATCTTTCCAACACTGGTGTTTGGGGTGCATACTATGGTTTGATTGCAAATATTGTCGTTTTGGCTTTACAATTCTGGTTAGCTTTATTCCCTATCGGAGCTAAACCAAGTGCTGTTGCATTCTTCCAAACTTATCTTGCATTCTTTATTGTTGTTTTCTTTTATGTTGCACATAAATTATGGACCAGAAATTGGAAATTATTTATCAGAGCTAAAGATATCGATGTTGATGGAGGAAGGAAAGAAACCGATATTGAATTATTGAGACAAGAGATTCAAGAAGAAAAGGAAAACCTTAGAAGACAACCTTTATATTATAGAATCTACGCTTTCTGGTGTTAAAAAGTTTTCTCTATTTATTATGTTTGTTTTAATGAGTTTTATAGTTTAATGACAATTTGAGATTAATGATCAAAAAAAGGACGACGATATTGTAGCTTCTCTTATATATTAATATGTCAAAAATTATCACTCTGAAATCTGATCGATGAATTTGGCATACCCGTTGCTGTCCTTGAAATACTAAAAACGTTGCCAAACCATTTTTTGCAACCATCATAATGAAACTCGGTATCTCATGAATATTGCTGCACAATATCAGTTCTATAGGTGGTTTGGAATTCCCGTGCGAAGTCAGTTTCTAGTCTGTTTACTCTTCAAGAAGCCTTTTGTTGTCTAGTTAAACCATGTCGGGAAAAGTGTAAGTAAAATTGGATAAAATTTCGCAACTTTTTTGGAAAATTTTAGTAGTAAGTCGCTCGACACAAATCACTGTATTTTTATCGATTGTCTCCGTGAAATGCACAGACAATATACTCTTCAAGAGTTGTTCATGAGAGGTTAGTGGAACTATCTTGAAAGGAATTCAATGAAAGATATAATAACGGTTGTAGGGACTTTTAGATTTTCATACCATCGTTACTATTCCGTGCACATTTACCACACCAATTTACACTTTGAAATTATCTGGCCTCCTATATGATACTATCTAATTCAAGACTACACGTTATTATTGACGATTTCTGTCAAATAACATTCAAAAATGGGGTATATGTTTCAAAATCCAGAGATCAATGAAAATTATTTTCGGAGAATTAAATCCACTTGATTAATTTACACAAATTAACAAATATCAAATCGCCCGTGTAGCGTAATGGTTAACGCGTTTGACTTCTAATCAAAAGATTGCGGGTTCGACTCCCGCCATGGGTTCTTTTTTTGCTTCTTTCATCATTTACATGATAATAGATAACGCAACATTTCATTGTTTGTTGAATTGGGCCCTTTTCTATTGATATTTTGCCTGGTTAAATAATGAAACAACTTTAAAATTTCTTTTTTGCATCGTAAAGTTTATTTTCTTTTTTCTTGGTTTTTGACAGGTCCATACAAAATTTTCAGATTAATCATCATTTATCATTTGATTGGTGATATACACTGCATACCATAGAAACAATATGCACTTACTTAAATCACTTAAACAATCAAATTCAGACATTCGAATACTATGGAGTTCAGTATTCTTTCGTATGGCCAGTTATGGCCTCACTAATCAAGTATTGACTCTTTATCTACGATCCATCAATATATCCGAGCAAAATATTGGAATATTCATGACATTGACCTTGGTAGGGGATACAATAATTTCATATTTCTTAACCTGGAATGCGGATAAGATTGGTCGAAGAGTAGTTATGGTTATAGGGACTATTATGATGTTTTTATCTGGGATTGTATTTGCTTCCTTTTCAAATTTTTATGTGCTATTATTTGCGGCAATTGTGGGAGTGATTTCTCCTTCTGGAGACGAGACTGGACCATTCAAATCTGTAGAGGAAGCTTCAATTGCACATTTGACGCCTCACAATCATCGGCCGGAGATTTTTGCCTTTCATGGGTTGTTTGCAACTGCGGGAGCCGCATTGGGTTCCTTGATTTGTGGGGTTTTGGTGGATTATATGAATCATTATTTGAAATATGAGTTGGAGACTTGCTATAGATACATGTTCATTATATATTCAGGATTTTCATTGATCAAGTTGGTATTGATGATGTTTTTGAGCAATAAATGTGAAATTTATGTTGTTAATTTCATCGAAGAAAGTGAAAGTGACGCAACTGAAGACTCTCCTTTGTTGACCAATGAAAACAACCACCATCAAGATGAAGAAATCAACACCAAGTCTTTCTTATCGGCCACATCCAGATATTACCTTCCAAGATTATTGGTTATATTCATGCTCGACTCTTTCGGATATGGATTCATGCCATCAGCATGGGTGGTCTACTACTTGAAAATAACCTTCAAACTTACGGCAAGTGCAATGGGGTTCTTGTTCTTCTTGACAAACTCAGTAAATGCAATTTCCTCAGTTCCTTCAGCATTTTTTGCTAAATTATTAGGACCAGTAAAGGCCATGCTTATCACCCAGGTACCTTCTGCATTTTTCTTTGGGGCAGTTCCATTTTGTAGTCATTATATGCCAGTGGCAGTTTTGCTATTGTTTTACTACACTACTACATCAATGGATGTGGTTCCTCGACAAGTACTCTTAACTTCAATTATGCCAAGGGAAGAAATAACTAAAGTGATGGGAATAGTCAATATCGGAAAGACATTTGCCAGATGTATTGGACCAGTATTCACAGGGAAGCTTGCAACACATGGCATGCTATATGTTGGGTTCTTCATTAATTCGGGATGTGTAATACTAGCCGATATACTTTTGGCATCGAACTTCTTACACTTAGACCAAGAGATTCTATCCAAGCAAGCTATTGAACATGACATTTAGTTTATATAAAACAATAGTTATAGAATAATATAAAAGTAACAGAGAATTGAAACCTATAAAACAATAGTTATAGAATAATATAAAAGTAATCGAGAATTGAAACCTATAAAACATAATAAATTCGAGAAAAGATGAATTGAAATGAATTCAAAAGATACAAACAGGTTAACCTTCTAAACAAAAACAACAGGAAAACAACCTTTAATCAACAGTAGTTTCCTTCTCATCTCTGGATTCTGCGACTTCAGCAGCGGTAGCACGACGATCCTCCTTTTGAATAACATATGAAGCAAACTTTCTTGCTGGGATTCTCTTTTCAAAAAGAATATCAAGTTCTTCATAAGTTCTATCCTTAGTTTCAGGCAATCTGAAATAAGACCAGATCAATGTAGGCAAAGCAGTAGCAAACCAAACAAATGCAGTTAAACCCTTCAAATTGGCAGCTCCAGGATTCATAAAATATGGTTCCACAACTTGAGAAATCAAGGAGACCAAATTATAAGCATTTCTGGCAATACAAACTGATTGAGCTCTGACTCTGGTTGCAGAAGTCTCAGCCGTGATAGTAAATGCCAATGGACCAATAGTCAAAGCATAAGTACTAACCCAAAGCATAGTGAGTCCAGCTTGAGCCCATTTGACAGCACCATTAGTTTCAGCTGGTTTGGCCAAGACACCAATAAGGAATAAGAACAACACCAAGAAGAAAAAACCAGTTACATAAATAGTTCTTCTACCAAAACGATTTAATAAAAACCAAGAACAGACAGTACCAGAGAAGGCAATACCAGTAGTACCAAGATTTAATTTATATACTTGGTCCGAGGCTAAACCAGCTTGAGAAAAGAAATAACTTGGGGAATAGGCAAACGAAGAACCCGATAACACTTGCCCAGCAAATGAGAGACACATAATTTCGGTTCTTCTTAAATTAGTACCACGGAAACATTCTATGTAACCTTTCCACCCACCTAACTCTGCTCTATTCTTTCTGTCTTGTTCGATTTCAAGTTGAGTAGTTCTAATCATTAATGCCAACGAATCCTTAGCCTTATGAGCAATACGCTTGGAACCTAAACGTCTAATAGAATGTTCGGCTTGTTCAAGTTTTCCCTTTCTGATCAAGTACCATGGGGAATCAGGTGCCAAATAAGTCAAAACGAACAAAGGAACGACCCACATCCATTGTAAGGCATAAGGAACCTTGTAGGACCATTTATTGTCAACACCAACCATACCTTGAAGGACACCAGCAGCGATAAATTGACCAGTAGCCCAATATAAATTGATAATTGCAGTAAGGTAACCTCTCAACTGCAATGGAGCAATTTCAGAAGCATAAGAAATACCTATGGTAGCAAAAATACCCCAAGGGATACCACATAAGATTTGACCAACAAGAAGGACTTCAATACTTCTAGCAAAGAAAACAATAAAGATGAACGCACCCATAAATATTAAACTAACATTAATAACCAATCTATGACCAAATCTTTCAGTCAAATAACCGTTGAAGAAAATACCAAGAATACTACCAACAGATGATGCAGCACCCAAAGAACTCTGCCATTTGGTACTAAGTTGATAAGTAATCTTACCATTTTCATCACTAAAAGGTTGACCAAAAGTCTTTTGAAATTGAGGATAAGCATAAAATGAACCAGTCAAGATATTATCATAACCTTCCATAACAATAGTAGCAGCCATAACAATAGCCCAAAAAATAGCAGGTTTATGATCTCTAAATGCTTCTTTCAAAGTCATTTCATGTTCAGCTTCAGTTGCGAGATCGGCCTGTTGATAGACATCCACTATCCCTTTAGCTTCAGCAAGAAGGTCTTTTTGTCTTTCAGGAGAAGACGATTCCGAAGACAAGTCGTCGACATGAGCGACCAGATGTTGTTTAAGATCAGTACCCATAATCGATAGTGTAGAATGTTGTAGTTTCAACTTAAAGGTATTTGCTTAAGAGAACTATTAGCTATCGAGATAACATGAAAATGTAACAAGCTCTTGATTGAAAAGGAAATGAATGTCCTATTTATAATCATTTAGGGCTCATGTCTTTTCAGCATCATTTTTAAATGATTAAATTTTAAATTTTTTTTTCGGCGGTGGTGGTTTAATTGTCAGCAATCGTAAAAAAGTAATGGATCCATTTTTTTTATTGTGGTTCATTGTGGAGAGAAAATGGTTCTGCCGTGGGGTCACCACCCATTAACTCCCTTGCATGTACGTGCTCGCAGTTGCATTTATCTTCCACCATCAACAAATCTTTGTTTGACGATATCATTGTGGGGATGAAAAAAGCTTGGAGTAGGGAACAATAGGAGGCGGTGGTTACAAGGAAAGATTTACATCTCCAGTTATTTGCAGCAATTCGAAACCTACAATAACCCCACGAACCCCACGAAACTTCAAGGAACGAACTTCGCGAAGAGATCCACGACACAATTGAACAGATCTAAACACCATTTGACATAGATAATAATCTTTGCGAAGTCACCTTGTTGATTGTTGCGAACTGGTTGAAATTTTTGCGAAATCTTTCCGAGGATGGGTTGCAAAATTTTTCCGAACTGTCAAAAATTTTTGCGAGATTTTAGAATGCTGCTAGTGAAACCTTAGTTTCGGAATAATTTACTTCGCAAAGATTAAGTTGGCACAAATCTTTGCGAATTCTAATTTTTGCGAATTCTAATTTTTGTGAATTCTAATCTTTGAGAATTCTAATCTTTGCGAATTTTAATTTTTGCGAATTCTAATTTTTGCGAAATCCTTGAAGACATTAACTGACGATCTATNGCAAAGATTAAGTTGGCACAAATCTTTGCGAATTCTAATTTTTGCGAATTCTAATCTTTGAGAATTCTAATCTTTGCGAATTTTAATTTTTGCGAATTCTAATTTTTGCGAAATCCTTGAAGACATTAACTGACGATCTATTCTTCTCGCAATGATTCATTTCATGCATTGTAATTCGCAATAATTAGTTTCCTCCAACTGTGAATAAACTTTGCGAGCACCCACTGCAGCCCAGCACTCAACCGCGTTTCCCCAGATTTTTTCATAGTCAACGCCCCGCATCAATAATCTTTGAGTTTGGAGTTCCAAGCGGAAAGATTTTCAGAAACGGAACACTTACAGATGTGAACAAATCTATTGTTAATTTCGAGTTGACTAACATGACACTGTCTATTAGTAGCATCTTATCAAGAACGATTTATAAAACGTTGCAAATATCTTTGAAAACACAGGGTAACTTTTTTATCAGTCTTCTACATTAATTTACAACCTATTTCCCAAGCAAAATGGAACATTATTCAATTGATCGTCATGTTGATTCAGATACCAGATTCTCACGTGGTATGTGGGAATTGAAAAATGGTGTTGGAATCAATTGGGCTTTAGAGGGCCTTAAATCACAAACCAAATGTGCTGCTAACGATGAAATTTATTCTGTTGCTGCAACCAGAAGAATTAACTCGAGAGGTGATACTTTAAACTGTCCAACTATATCTACCAATATTAGTTCCCCTAGAGAAGGTATTATTGGCATCGAGTCATATCATCATGTATCTACTTATAAGAAAAGTAAGGTCCCTAGTTTCACAAAGTTTGAAGATAAGGACTTCAAGGCTAAAGTTGTCTCTGAAGACACAGAAGACTTCCAAACATTACATTCTGGTGACGAATTTAGGGCTGTAGTATCAGCAAAACCTTATACTATTGAATTTAAGGGTAGAGACGAAAAGCTGTTAACAAAATTAGGGTATAAATCAATTGGATCAGTTAGAGATAGTAGATTCGATAAGCCTGGAGCAACTGCAGATAAAGCAACCAACTATATGACTGCCCAACTTCATGTTTCGGTAGGTGAGAAATTATTTGGTCTAGGAGAAAGATTTGGTCCTTTTGTCAAGAATGGTCAAAGAGTTGAAACCTGGAATGAAGACGGTGGTACTTCTTCTGAATGGACTTACAAATCAATTCCATTCTATCTCTCCAACCGTGGGTATGGAGTATTTGTTGACAGTTCTTCTAATGTTGTATTTGAGCTTCAATCTGAAAGAACTACACGTGTTAACATCACCGTCCAAGGAGAAGGAATCAGGTTCTACATTATCCATGGTCCTGACCCAAAAACCGTATTGTCGAGGTATACTGAACTCACTGGAAAGCCTGCTCTTCCACCAGCTTGGACTTTTGGATTATGGTTAACAACCTCATTTACTACCAACTATGATATCGATACTGTTAGTTCTTTTATCCAAGGGATGAAAGATAGAGATATCCCATTAACCACCTTCCATTTCGATTGTTTTTGGATGAAGGGATTCCAATGGTGTGATTTTGAATTTGATCCAGAGTATTTTCCAGATGCTAAGAAATCCATTGCAGATTTAAAGCTGAAATTTGATGTCAAGGTATGTGTTTGGATTAATTCATATATTGCTCAAGAATCGAAGTTATTCGCTGAAGCCGACGAGAAAGGCTACTTGATTAGATACGTTCCAGAAATTAATGATGGTGCCGCTTATCAAACAGATTTGTGGCAAGCTGGTATGGGTATTGTTGACTTTACAAATCCCGATGCATGTAAATGGTATCAAGAGAAGCTTGAACGTTTGATTGACTTGGGGGTTGATAGCTTCAAGACTGATTTTGGTGAACGTATTCCATGCAAAGATGTCCGTTATCACAATGGTGCTGATCCAGTAGGTATGCACAATTACTATACTTTACTTTATAATAAAGTTGTTTTTGAAGTTCTTGAAAGGAAGCTAGGTAAAAACCAAGCATGCCTTTTCGCCAGAAGTGCTACTGTTGGTGGCCAACAGTATCCAGTTCATTGGGGTGGTGATTGTGAATCAAGTTTTGAAGCAATGGCAGAATCTCTTCGTGGTGGTCTTAGTCTTTGTCTTAGTGGATTTGGTTTTTGGTCGCATGATATTGGTGGGTTTGAAGGTGATCCAGATCCTGCAGTTTATAAAAGATGGTGTGCTTTTGGTTTGTTAAGTTCTCATTCCAGACTTCATGGAAGTGACTCTTATAGAGTTCCATGGAATTTTGATGACGAGGCCAGCGTGGTGTTGCGTAAATTTACCAAATTGAAGATTTCGTTGATGCCATATTTGTATAAATTCGCAATTGATGCACACAAGACTGGGGTTCCTGTGATGAGAGCTCCATTATTGGAATATCCAAATGATCCAAATGCAGTAGTTGCCGATACTCAATATTTCCTCGGTGATTCCTTGTTAGTTGCTCCTGTATTTACTGGTGATGATGGGAATGTTAGCTACTATGTCCCCAAGGGAGATTGGTATGGATTCTTAGATGGTCAAGTTAGAAATTCTCCCTCTGGTGAATGGTTTGAAGAAGTACATGATTACAAATCGTTACCGTTATTGGTTAAACCTAATTCCATAATAGTCACTGCAGGTCCATTTTCCAACCACAAGAGTCCAGTCTATGAGTGGAATAAAGAGTTTATGCTTAACATCTACGATATTTCTGACGTTGGTACTATGACTCAGATTCCTGATCCAAACAAAAATGGTGAATTTGCTTGTACTGTTTTTGCAACCAAAATTAGTGAACATGAGATTGAAATTAAAATCGACGGTAATTTCAATAAGCCTTATTATGTTAAGTTGTTAGATAGCAGTGATAAGGATTTGGGTGTCGTCAACGGACAAGCTAAATGCCTGGGAAGAGATGAGCTTGGTAACTGCATTGTCGAAGTTGTCGGAGACCACGTCATTATTAAATCATTATTCAACTAGTACGTTCGGAAGTAAATTTACATAGAAATATAAATATAAATCAATAAATAAATATTACATGTAAATCACATTTTTGCAATCGCCCTTCTTCTACATACTTTATAGTCTTAATATATTCACCAATTATTTTATTAATACAAAATTAAAGATATAGGGTCTATGATTAGACGATTCCCCATACACCCCAAGGAAAGAAAAAAAATGACACTAAAATATCCTCTATACAATCTATTGAGTCTCACTGACAACACCCTTGACTTCCTCTACAACCATCAATTCATCAGGTTTATATACTCAAAAAAAACAGACATGGAGCCACCCTGTCAACAAATTCTAGTATAGCTACTTAGTGAAGACCGTCTTACACCAAAAAAAACATTAAGGGATTTTCTAAAAATAGCCAGAAACAAACAGCTAAATGAAGCAACTTCTGCAATGCAAAATAGTAAGTTATGGAGATTAGAAGAGCATATCCAAAGTACAACAAATACACAAGGCAGCTAAACAGGCCATTAAACAACCTTCATTATTAGATGACGATTGTTGTTGGACATACATTGGCTGTTGTGGTTGTGCTTGATAGTATCCTTGTGGAGGCGGAGCACCATATCCAGGTTGTTGGTAGTAACCTTGTGGTGGAGGTGGTGGATATCCCTGTTGCGGATATCCTCCATATCCCCTATCTTGTGTTTGCTGGTTGTATACGGGCTGAGCCTGTGGGGAATATCCAGTGTTATTACCTTGAGACCAACTAGGTGGTGCTCCAGTTGGTGGTTGATATTCTTCTTTTGACATTCGATTAATGATTTAAGTATAATAGCAATTGTAATTACTTATTGAATTGTAATAATACTAAGATAAGTTGTTATGATTAATGATAATGATGGGGTGAGAGTTTTTTTTTCTGGTAAAATTGAATTCGATTTTAATTTAAATTAAAATTTAGAAATCAAAAAGCCGTAACCTGTAAAAGCGTATCGAAATCTGCAAAACAATTACGGAAAATGATGATGCAATTTAGAAAACTAAGCCTCGTCATATTGTAAGCCGTGCAATTAGCGATCTAATGAATGATTCTATTTATAGGCTGGGGCTATGTCTACTAAGTTTTAAAAAGAACCAGATCTCATTTCACCTTCGTTGCAAGTATGGAATCTACTCTACAATTTGTCATGTGAGTTTGGTCAACAATATATTTAGAGCAAACAACAAAATAGAAATGTAATTGAGTTCCCCACATCAGATACTGAATCATGGCAAATAGATGAAGGTATAAATCAGCCTTGCACGACGTGCATTCGGATTGAAAGGAACAATCGGAAACATGGCTGGTTCCAAAGAGAGAATAAACCAACTATAAACCCTATAGACTATTGACACTGACGTGGGCAATGTTCCTACATTTTGAGACTCCTTAAGACACGTTATATAACCGATCAGAGATAGGACTGCAAAGTAGCAGCCGCTACTAGATCCTGTCTCATTCAGAATTAGAGAGCATAGCCAACGTTGAGGTGAATTTGAACCAGGGGAAATGTATTATGTACTTGTATGAAAACAACGCTATACGGATGGTTCCCAGAATGTTTTCATATTTGCGAAGTAAACTATCATCGTTATGATCATTCTTCTTTCAGTAGATGTTGTACGTCTGTCGGTGGAGCTTCAGAACCAGATAAGGTGCAGATTAACGGCTTTTATTGCCGTCATAGAAGCAAACAAGAAATCGGATCCCGCATTATAATTGATTGAAAACAAGAAATACATCCTAGGCAAACAAAGTACAACTCTTCCATAATGAACACTACGTGATATATAGTCGGTTGAATAGAGAATAAATGAGTGGCATCACAGAATTCTCGAAAACGCATCTCGGGTGCAAAACAACGCGTTTTGTTCGTACCTCATTTTGCATGAAAAAATTGATAGAGATGTCAACTATTTTCACCAGGTTCATGAAGAGCGAAACCTCCAAAAGCAGTCCTCTTAAGCGTCTCTCGTACTATGAATTTGATTTAACATTCCGTTGGAGCACTAGGGTTAGCATGTATATGCTGTTAATGGAATAGCTTCCAATGAGAGCAAACATGGTGATCTGGTATTAATTTGAAATAACAAAATCTAAATAAAGTGATTAAAATTATAAGAAGTTTGGCAAAGACGAGAAATGCACAGGAAGCATTACAACACAATCTTTCGATAACATAAAGAGAGCCTAGAAATTCTCCTTCTGGGGAATGGTTTGAACAAGTGCATGAGTGCACATCCTTGCTAAGTTTACCGTAATTTCGTAAATGTCACCACGAGAGTCCTATCTATGAGTGTAATAAGGGGTGTAGACATAACATCTGACATTTCTAGATTCCTGGTCCAGACAAGAGCGGTGAATTTGCTTGTATTTGTTTTGCAACTAGGCGAGTCTGGGGTTGCAATTAAAAATCCCAATCAACCAAACTACGTCATGGTGTGCAATTGCTGCAATACGGAGTTAAATATAGTCATGGGACAGGCGAAATCCTTGAGAAGAGATGAACTTTGTAATTGCATTGCTGAAGCTGTCGTAGAACACGTCAATGTTAAACATTTACTTAATTAGGTTACCAGTACGAAAATCAATCCGAATCGCAACATAAAACGATAAATAAATTGCATATTACAATCGTCCTCTCTACAAGCTTCGTCATCTTTTAAATCAATTATTTATTATTAATACTGACTAAAGCTATATGGTCTATGATTAGATGATTTGCAGTATAACTAAAGAGAGAGCAAAAAACTCACACCAACCTTGAAATATCACATACATCAACAACAACTGGAGCTACTTTGCGCAACTGTTTGTTGGACATAGAAGGAAGGTTCTGGTTGTGGTGGTGGGTAGTATACTGGTGAAGTAGGATGATATATAGGCGCTGCTTGTCTTTCGTATGCCGGTTGAGGCTGTGAGGGATATCCGATATTAATTGTTTGAGACCAATTAACCGCTGCGGCCGGTGCTTGGTAGTCGTTAGGCATTGAATCGTTGATTTGAATTTAAAGCTAGAAGGAAAAATCAGGCTAATTAAATTTTATTGAAATGAGGATGTGGTGGGAGTCATTTCTCTAAATTGTATAATTTATATGAATTTGTTAGAGTTAGACCCAAAGGCAGAACCTATAGAAGAGTATCAAAACCTGCAAAAAAAAAATACGAAAATGGATGATGCAGAACGGCTGAACCTCATTTCTTTCTGAGCTTTCTAAAACATATGGCGAAGGCATCACCCATCTTCTCTGCGCCGTTTTGGGTTAACAAACCCCTTCCACCAAATTTCAATGGATGCTGCACCCTACACTCGTAAAGATCTTGTTCATTTGTTTTCATATCCTCTGTGCAATTTGTCCAATAGCTTGCCTTAAGCATTTCTCTATAGTTTTTGAAAACAATCTAAGTAATGAGACACGACTCTCATAGTGTCCATATGACAATATATGGTGGTTATAATGTGGTTTCCAAATCACGACGACCTGCTAGTTTGCAAAATTTCTCAATGATTTGAGAATACATTGTATTTTGGGATAATACATTGTTCCCCACCTTTTTCAGAAAGTCCAGAAATGCTTAGCCCATTCGCATCATAGTTTTTTATACTTTATTTTTTTTGCAGATCTACAGTTGATACGCCCATACAGGGTCCGCCGTTGGATCTGAATCTAATGAATTCTTTTATATAGAATGACTCCCACTACATCCTCAGCTCATAACAACTTATTAAATTGATAAGCGTATTTGCTCCATTTAGCATTAAATTTAAATCAATGTTAAAATGACAAGAATAGTAAATGAACCACCGCCAACAAGTGAACCAGTTAATTGGTCTCAAACAATTAATATACACTATCCTCCACAGGCACAACCGGCATATGATAGGGGATACGGTTGTCCACATCCCCAAGGGTACTACCAACCATACGCACCACAACCCGTTTATGTCCAACAACCAGCCACGTCTGATGACGAGGATTGTTTATTGGCATGTTTAGCTGGTATGTGTCTTTGTTTGCTTTTGTAATCTCCATATGGTACTATTTTCCAATGAAATTTACTTCTTTTAGATGTTTGTCGCAGTTTGTGGCTGACCAATTAAAATGTCAGTGAGACTTAAAAGATGGTATAATTAGAGTATATTTTAGTGTTATTTTTTTGGTCGGGGATAGTCAAATTATTGACCCTACGTCTTTAGTTTAATCAATAATAATTAATCAATTTATTAACTACTACAGAGTTTGTAGAGCGAACGGTTGTAGCATGCACGACTTATTTTTCTGTACTTCCCGTTCAAATAGTCCGGTAGAGAAGCTTTTTTTTATCTTTAAACGGCTTTGTCTCCCACTCAATTTTGTGTTAACTTATTTGGATGAGCCTCCTTCTAAAATAGATGAGCCGGTATAAGCCACATGATCGAGAGGAGGCTTTCATTTTAGCCCCTGGAGTTAAAGTAACTAATTCGAATGATGTAGCACATATCTTTTAAGTTTTCGAGGAAATTTTTTTTATACAAGAGCCTGTATTGTAACAGAGAGGTTAATTGTGGCAAGTATGACCGCGACTAGATTCTTGGCACTATACAGAAGTTTTCGCTTGTTGGAAAACAAAGGAAGTGGGGCGTTAGCGATATGCGTGGACTAAAAACTAATATGAAACCTAGAGATGGTCAATGTACTGAATCAGTCTTCGGTGATGAACTCTATGCACATCACTGCCACTTGAATTTGTAATTAGGAATAGAGGGAAAGGGTCCTACTATGATAGATATAAGAAAAAAATCCTAGCACGAAGAAAATGACGATTTTGTTTTACTTACGACGTAACTCTACTACAAGAATAAAAGAAAAGTCTTGGGTGAGTAGCATGCCCAACTATAGGTGCATTGAATCTGATGGCGAAGGTTTTGTTATTATATTTACGAGAATATTGGATAAAAATTGATTACGGAATTCCTTGATTTTGTAAGGATCGAACCTAACGTGCATATCGGAGACTCTCAAATTATTCCGTGTCCTCTCTGGACAAATTTGGAAAATCCATTACTAGTTCAATCCTAAGAAGGAATCTCAAAAAAAGCAAATTGATAATAATAGATTGATCGAGTTTTCTGTTATTGCCTATGCTCTTGTCTCATAGTGGTTCAAAAAGTTCAACTAAGAACCCGGGGTAGCTTAGAGGTTATAATATCGCAGCTCTAGTTCTGAATCAGGGATAGTTTCCAAATGCATAAATTAGCCTAAGGTTCGAATCAGCCCCCTTGAGATTTACGGTTTCAAGCTAATTTTATCAATTTTCTAAAAAAGCACTACTTAAAGCAATTTAGTATAAGTACTTGAAATTAGGACTCTTATCACCAGCATTGATTTGTTCAATCTCTGACAATGCTGCAAATTCTTGTTGATATGCCTCAGTCTTCTTAATCGTATTCCTCCTGTAACAAAGGAAGAAATAAGCAACTGAGGAAATCATGAAAAATCCAACTCCTCCAATGGAAACTCCCAAACCTTTCTTATAGACAGGGGCATCAGTCTGGACGAAAATGATGGTAGCAATGATTCCCCCAATATTTCCAAAACCTATCTGCCAAGCAGTACCAACTGATTTACGAACATGAGAGCCAAAATTAATTGCACCCCAACAAACAGCTAACGGCATAGCACTGTGTAAACCACTGGCTGTAAGGAAGCAACCGGCGTAACGAACCTTTTGATTAGTGGTTGCAAGCAAAATCATGGCTAGACCCACAGCAGACATTATACCAGTTGCAATGACATATGGAAGCCTTCTTCCTGTATTATCGGACATAACGGCTGAAAGATTGATCACCACGAAAGAACAAAGATATGGATATACAGTATGAAGTTGGGCGCTGACTGCTGTGTAACCCATTTCCTTCACAATAGCTGGTGAGAAATATGCATAACCATAGGCTGGGATAATTAATCCGAAGTATGCTAAAGCAGGTAACCAGACCAATAAATCTTTGAAGCATTTGGCAACGTCTCTAATACTGTTTTTAACTTCGAAAGCAGAAGCACTACCTGACATAAGCTCTAATTTAGTCTTGATAAATAAGCGTTCCTTTTCATTCAAAAATCTAGCTTCTTCAGGGAAATCAGCCATAAGGAAGAATAAGAGAATTGAACATCCACAGGTTACTGCACCTTCAATTATAAAAATCCATCTCCAACTTGCGATCCCATGGGCACCGTGCATATCAGCGATTCTATATGCAATCGCTCCCGAGGCAGCCCCAGCTAAGGAAGTACAAGAAAAAAAGGCTGAAAACCTTCTTTGTGCTTCAGCTTTGGAGTAGTAGGTAGACATTAAATAAAAGATGGCTGGAAAGGTAGCAGCCTCGGTAACACCAATCAAGAACCTACAAGCAACCAATGCACCAAAGTTCTTAACGAAACCAATCGCTATTGAGAGTATGCCGAAAGCCATAACAACTACGGATAATAAAAGATGTGGCGTGATAATCTTCATGAGATAGTTTGCAGCGACTTCAAAGATAATATACGGAACAAAGAATACAAGTAAAGCAATATTATATTGGTTTCCAACTAAATTCAAATCTTCCGACAATCCATAAAGATTAGCATTACCAATGTTAACACGATCAAGGAATGAAAGGAAGTACAATAAACAGAATGGAGGAACAACCCAAATATCAATCTTCCACATAAGCTTTCTCTGATTGATACCATACTCTTTGGCCAAAGCATCGACTTGTTCTTGTTTTGAAAGTTCTGGTTTCAGGGAAAGCGAACCTTCAGAACCAGCATATGCTGGTAGTTCTGTTGTGGACTTTTCGATACTCATAATGTTTGCAGTTGGTGCGATTGTCTAAAGTAGATATATTTAGAAATGTACAGCGAGCCAGATGTATTTATAAACTATTTATAATGCTAAATTATTACTGGGCAGAAGCTGGAAAAATAATGAAATAGTTGAAATCAGAATCGCTTTTCTACTAATCCGGTAAACGAACTACTTTATCTCCCATTCAATTTTGTGTTCTCTTTTTCTATGACTCTCCCGAGAGAATACATCAAAAGGAACTGACAGAGCAGTCAAGGGTAGGCCATAGTCAGCCTTTCAATTTCTCAGATGTCAAACAAAAGCAATTCCTACATGCTAGCATATATCTTTTGGGCCCTCCCGTTATAGTGACTGAAATTTTCGCTTGTTGGAAAACAATAAGAAATCGGACATTAGCGATATGCATGGACTAAAAAAATGCTTGTAAAATAAAACTTACGATAAAAAAGGAGCAAATAGAGGAGAACCCGATCAGCAAATACGATGCGAAGGACTATCTGCGCCAATAACAATTCGTAAATTCTACGATATCAATGTACAGAACTAAGCTTCCAAGATGTACTCAAATGCACAACTTCTTAATTTTGAAATTAGATTATACTTTCTTGTTGACACAAAGGGTCCAGAGCAATGAAGAAAATGCCAAAGTGACAATGATTTTCTCTAGATACAAGAATAAAAGAAAAGTCTTGGGAGATGAGCTTCGTCGTGAATATTAAATCTGATGACCTAAGGTGATACTCTTCTTCTTAAGAGAAAATTGGAAATCAGTAAAAGAAACCGGCATCCTGCATAGATTGAACTCAACGTGCATTCCGGAGACTTTTGAAATATTCCGACTCCTCCCGGGAAATAGGTGGAATCTCCATTGCTCCCCTTCAATTCAATAGATGGAATTTCACGAAGTACTAATTAAGTCTAATTAAGGTCCCTTAAACTTGCAATCACATTGCAGGATATTGCGGGGTTAGTGTCTCAATTGGAGAATATTAGCACAGTATGGATTTCCAAACTTGATATCCCATCTCCTCTGATGGCTTGCTGTTTCTAAGAGTCTTGCGCCACATTCGTGGAGTGGTAATAGAAGCAAATAATTCGCTTCTGATTTTCTTTTGTCGTAATATAAAAACTTTTTCAGTTGATCTAGGTTTCTCCTCTGGTGATTCCATTTCTCTTTGATCATTTTAGGTCTGTACGGAGATTCAGCATAATCATTTTCATTTAGAGTTTATAAAGGTCCCCTCAACTGTATGCACAGACTTTCGTTGTTCAGCTTAATGGATCTATGAATCAAGCCTTTACTAAGCTTTGTGACGTGAAAGCATGTCCTCGCAACCGTTTATCAATATGTTTGGACATAGTTATCTTCGAATCAGAGATTGATCTAAACTTTAACTTTCTTATATGATTGCATGAGCTCAACTTTATTATACCATCATTTAAACCAAACGGCATATCTTGGCCCATCTCGCACGGTAAGAGTGGCGAGCTCAAATTGACCAAGATCTTGTAGGAATTCTCATCAAAAGGAAGCCAAGTAACAAGCGGATCTGGAAAGAGATAGGGGATTTACTACGAACCCATGAATGATAGTTTCAAAATTTGTAAATTAAACTTTAAAGATTTAGGGTTTGCTTCTGTGTCGTTTATGTTTTCAAGGGAATATTATCATTAGTGCTACATAATATATATAGAAGCAAATAAACAATCTTAATATAAATATTCAAAAGTAGGATTTCTGTCTCCTGCCTTAATTTGATCAATTTCAGACATTGCTGCAAATTCTTGTTGATAAGCTTCAGTTTTCTTAATCTTGTTCATTCTGTGACAAAGGAAAAAGTAGGCGACTGAGCAAATCATGGAAAAGACAACACCACCAAGGGAAGTACCCAAACCTCTCTTGTAGAACGGAGCATCACTACTTAAAAAAATGAAAGTAGCAATAATACCACCGATATTACCGAATCCGATTTGCCATGCGGTACCAACTGATTTACGAATGTGGGAACCAAAGTTAAGAGCAGCCCAACACACAACCAACGGCATTGCGCTATATAACCCACTTACAGCAAGGAAACATCCGGTATAACGAGCGTTCGCATTGGTGGTAGCTCCTAAAACCAAGGCAAGACCAGTTACAGCCATGACACAAGCTACTAACGCATATGGTAATCTCTTTCCTGTATAGTCGGATAAAAATGCTAGTCCGTTGATGACTCCAAATGCTAAAATATATGGATAGACAGAATGTAACTGAGCTTCAACAGCAGTATAACCCAATTGTTTAATAATCACAGGTGAGAAATAAGCATATCCGTAAGATGGAATAATTAAACCAAAGTATGACAATGCTGGCAACCAAATTAACAAGTCTTTGAAACATTTCAAAATATCACTAACCTTGTTTTTAATTTCAAATGCCGAAGTAGTCCCGGTTAAAACTTCCAATTTTCTTTTGATAAATAGACGTTCATTTTCATTCAAGAATCTAGCTTCTTCAGGGAAGTCAGCAATTATGAAGAATAAGAGAAATGCGCATCCACAAGTTACTGCACCCTCAATGATAAAAACCCATCTCCAACTTGCAAGTCCATGGACTCCATCCATGTCGTTGATTCTGAAAGCAACGGCTCCGGATGCTGCACCAGCTAACACGGTACAGGAAAAGAATGCAGAAAACCTCCTCTGGGCTTCAGCTTTGGAGTAATATGTGGACAACAAGTAGAAAATGGATGGGAACGTGGCAGCTTCTGTAACCCCAATCAAGAAACGACAAGCAACTAACCCACCAAAGGTTTGGACAAACCCAACACCGATAGATAGAGCACCAAATACCAAAACGACAGCGGATAACAAAATATGTGGTGAAATAATCTTCATTAAGTAATTTGCAGCAACTTCAAAGAAGACGTAGGGTAAGAAGAATACAAGCAAAGCAATGTTATATTGGTTTCCAACTAAATTCAAGTCTGTTGACATTCCGTAAAGATTAGCATTACCAATGTTCACACGATCAAGGAATGAAAGAAAATATAACAAACAGAAGGGGGGAACGACCCAAAGATCGATCTTCCACATAAGCTTCTTTTGATTTATACCATGTTCTTCAGCCAAGGCGTCAACTTGCTCTTGTATTGAGGTCTCTTTTTGCAGAGAAAGTGATTCTTCAGAACCAACGTATTCTTTTAATTCTGAGGGAAGGGCCTCGGAGAGCTTTTCAATAGACATTTCTTGCTTGGTCTTGTAGTAAATAAACTAAGGATTTATAAAAAGTTTTACAAATAGAGGAACCCCACATAAACTTATATATGAACATTAAAACTAAAATGAGTCAAGGTATTAGAACAATCAACAATGGAAAGTTTTGCAACTTTAATTTACAATTAAACTTTAACTCAAAATTAAAGTTTCACTGTTGTTAAATCTCCGGTGCAGGATCTTTCATTTGGCCGGTTTGACTTTGTGACATGCCGATATGCGGGTGACATACACTAAAGTGGGAATGGGGATTTACCAGCCGTGGAAAAGGTGGCTACTGCTTCTTTCGAAATCAGCTACTCCTACACCGTTTGAAATGAATTATAATCACTCATAAAAATGGGGAATGTATTTTGGGGACTCTTTCATTCTGATCGTCACAGGACAGATACACTTATGTCGGTTATAAATCGGCCAAACAAAATCATTGTTACTCTGATCTGCTCGGGTTTTCAAATGTAGTTGCACACTAATTAGGTGAGAAAGAAAAGAAGAAACCTTGTAATTAAAGTATAGGTCTCTTCATTAAAATCTATAGAACTAGATCTAGGAGGGGTACAGGATTAGTAATTTTGTGTAGTCACATGCAGGATGATAAGGACTGATTTACCCGAGTATACAAGAAATCAGAAACTAAAATTAATCTAATAAATGTATACAACCTGGACGCGGTTCCAAAAAACAGATAATGGCACGGCATCTTTTAACAATCTAATCAAATCCAAACAAAAGAATTTTCAATGCCAAGAAATCTTTCTCCGATCTTTTTCCGGTTTCATAACCAATTAATGCATCTATTCTATTCCATATTGACATCAGTAATCCTGGCTCACTGAGCCAAGCGGTATATATTTGATACCCGTACCGACCTTTCTAAATACCGATTTAGTATATAGACTGTCAATCGGAAACTCTATTTCTTGTACGAAGCTCAAAAAAAGCCAAAAATCTACATGGACGTGGTTCACGTAAGAACTGGGAGTTAAATTTATTAGTCATGACTCATACATACAAGACCTGAAATGTATCTTTGATGCAGTAATTTCGGATTTTCCTGAAGATTTGCGCTTCAATATCCGCTAAAAAATACTATAATGGATCCCCCACTCCCCCACTCCCCCAAACAATAAACTATAACTATTTTGGGAAGTGTTGATAGATTGATGTAAGAATATCATTGGGCAGATAGAACAAGTAAACTTTATTGCGATTTCCTCGATAAATGGTCAGGATATTAATCTAGTGAAGAATTTGTATTCGCATTTATGTTGAGGTGAGGTGAGCCACAAGTTCAAGTAGGGGATTTCTCATAAATAGGTTAATCTTTGGCTGCGAAGAGGATTGTTAAGAAGTCATGGGACTCTAGAATTCTGCTTGAATGCGAAGAGTTGAAAGTTTAAAAGTTGGCACAGATTTTCGTTTGGTGAAAATAATCTGCAGTTCATCTGCTACTGACTTCTGTAATTTCTAATATCATTCCTAGTGTTTTTAGATTAATGCTGATACAGACCTAATTCCAATTTTTACCACGAGAATATTTATCCATGGCTATTGGTTACAATTTAAGATTATCTGATTGAAATACATATATATTTTAAATATTTTTAGTTTTAAATTACAAGCAAGTTCAAAAGACTACCGGTGCTACTCGAAACTTGTCGTGCAAAAATTAGATTAAAAAGTAGGCTCTTTTGTCATAATATAGCTGTCCTCTAGTACAAGTACCTAAAAGTAGGATTTCTGTCACCGGCATTGATTTGCTCACGTTCAGACAAAGTCATAAATTTGTCTTTATATGCTTCAGTCTTCTTGAGTTTATTTAATCTTTGGCATACCAAGAAGTACACAACAGAGCATATCAACGAGAAGACAGCACCACCAAGGGAAACAGCCAAACCTCGCTTATACCATGGTGCATCTGTGGCTACGAAAATGAATGTTGCGATAATACCACCAATATTACCAAATCCGATTTGCCAAGCAGTCCCGACTGATTTACGAATATGGGAACCAAAGTTAATAGCTGCCCAACAAACAACTAGTGGCATTGCACTATACATTCCACTCACAGTAAGGAAACACCCGGCGTAACGTGCGTTGGTATTTTCAGTAGCAACTAAAACCAAGATAAGTCCAACTGTACCCACAATGGTACAAAATAATGCATATGGTAGTCTCATTTTTGTACGATCAGAGAGTACACCAGAAATATTAATGAGTCCAAATGCGCAAAGGTATGGATAGACCGAGTGCAACTGGGCGTCGACTGCTGTGTATCCCAACTGTCTCACGATTTCGGGTGAAAAATAGGCATAAGCATAGGATGGAATGATCAACCCAAAGTAGTTTAAAGCTGGCAACCAAATTAATATGTCCTTGAAACATTTGACGACATCAGTGACCTTATTTTTAATTTCAAATGCAGAGGAACTTCCAGATAAAATTTCCAATTTTCTTTTAACAAAAGTACGTTCGTCTGGACTCATAAACCTTGCTTGTTCAGGAAAGTCGGCAATGATGAAGAATAAAAGAACGGCACACGCACATGTAACTGCACCCTCTATAATGAAAATCCATCTCCAACTTGCAATACCTTGAACCCCATCCATTTCATTGATTTGATATGCAATTGCCCCCGAAGCTGCTCCGGCTAACACTGTACATGAAAAGAAAGCAGAAAATCTTCTCTGAGCTTCAGCTTTAGTATAGTAAGTGGATAACACGTAGAAAATCGAAGGGAAGGTTGCAGCTTCAGTAACACCAATGAAAAACCGACAAGCTAATAAGCCACCAAAGTTTTGGACAAATCCAATAGCAACAGATAATCCTCCGAAGAGCAAAACCACTGTAGACAATAAAGTGTGTGGCATAATTATCTTCATAAGGTAATTAGCAGCAACTTCGAAGAAAATATAGGGAACAAAAAATACAAGTAATGCAATATTATATTGGTTACCCACTAAATTTAAATCTCTTGACAATCCATAAAGATTAGCATTCCCAATATTGACACGATCAAGGAATGAAAGGAAATATAATAAACAGAATGGCGGAACAACCCAAACATCAATCTTCCACATGAGTTTCTTCTGATTTATACCATATTGTTCTGCCAAAGAATCAACTTGAGCTTGGAGGGAGGTTTCTGCCCGTAAGGAAATCGATTCCTCAGAGATGAAGAATTCTTTAGATTCGGTAGTAGGCGAATGTTGTGGTTTGTCGGTATTCATGTTGCCGTTGATTGGGTGAATTATTTAAGGCGAACTGGTTTAAGTTGGGACATCTGCGGTCCCGTACGACCTTATATACAATTTTTCAATTGGGGAAAAGGTAAAAATGTATCCTGACTCTTGGACAAGAAATTTCAGCCTGCTTGTTTAAAATTCGTGTCATAATATTCTCGACTTGGAAGTATTTGTTTCATCCCCCAGACCGGCGGAGAATCCAAAAGGGCTTGGCAACAAACCAAGTTTGAAGTTCTCTTCAAAAGCTGCTTTCCACTGTGATCCCCTCATTAAAAGTTTTGAGGTCGTATAGTGTTTTTGCTGTCGCTGGGAACTACATATACCTAGTTCAACTCGATGTTGCCTGAAAGATGTGCGTTTTGATCTTGGGGAAGTCTCCGTACCAAACGAAAAAAAAATCGACATCGCTTAGAATTGGCTTAGCAAATTAGGACCAGAAAATAATAACCGGCTTGAATAATAATCAAACAAGAAATCCACAACAGCAATAGAAGCACCACAAACTTAGTTTTATATATCGGAGATTAGGAACCTTTTGCAGCCTGCACGGAAATGCACAAGAGCTAGGGGCAATGTGATAAAATGCCGTATGATAAACTATAGGTCAGAGCAACTTGCCGAGCCGAAACTCGCATTAGGTCATAAATAGACAGAGCTCATGTGCATTGTGATTCAAATCTTCCAAACTAAGTCATAACTCGCGTTGAAATCAGAGAAAATGGATAAATAAGAATTTTTTCAGTTTTCTGGAAAATTGGCAAAAATGTATCCATTTTGTACCGCATAATAAATTCGTAAATTAGAGAAAGTCAAGCAAATATTTTCAAACGGAGAAATTTTTATCCGAAGTCTGGGGCTAATCGGAAGAATATTACTGGCTTGCCCCTGTTTCCTAGTGACCGATGCTGTCTTAGCTTCTTGTGAAAGTAAATGGACGGAAGGCTAAACAAAGGGACTTGTTATTGCATAAGGGTTTGTCGTACGTTTGCTGGTACCAGATTTTAATAAGACTACTCTATGATCTTAGTGTATTGTCAAGACATATTGTGACAAAAGTATTTACTTGGAAGTTGTCTGTCATGGCTTTCGGCTTGTCTATTCTGTTACCACATAAAGATAAGACTTATATTTGTTTTTAAGAGCATCGAAGGATTTTTCAGACGAACTAAGACGTATCTGAAATTGAGTTCTGATTAGTGGATATCTGCCTATCATGACTATATTTATTTTAATGTATTTTAAATTTCGTTGAAAGTATATAATAAACCGGTCCTTGTTTAGGGATGCAATCTTGCAATTCTCTGATTGAGTTGTACCAACATTCACTACTTCGAATCTAGTAAGCATGAACTTCTGTCAGATTTGCAATTGCGTGGTAAGCAACGGCTAACTACAAGTATTGGGGGAACGGTTTACATGTAAAATGGTATCAAAACACGGCAAATCATAATTTACTAGTTAATTTAGCACGCAGGTCGAGCAAAACTCTGACTCTACTAAGTCATGGGGCTGCTTCTTTAAAAATGCAAGCAGAATTGTAGGCACTCAAACAAGCTGAAACTGGCTTTCACTTTCTACATTCTACTTCTCGTTTATGTAAAGTTCTAGACGTACAGCACCCATTAAACTAAGAGTCTGGAACATTCCCACACAAAAATTTGGTTGCAACCATTCTGAATGTTACACATCGTTCCAGAATTTACATTTCCTAATTGGGCTGAAGGGGAAATTCTATCGATAAATGAAAATTTTTCGAGACTACATACAGGATGGATGCAAATAGCCCCACCTACAGTGTCGACGCTGGAGAAGGTTATGCACGTATTTCGATGCTACACCTAATGCAATACCCCAATAGTGTATCGTACCAGCACTTCAGAGTGCTGTAGAAGTCATTGACGGGTCAATAGAAGGAAAATAGATAGGATGAAAGACCTTATAAGCCCATTTAATGCCATAAACTTGCCTCTAATTCAAATTTTCTATATTAATGCTTTTTTCAGTTCCTCAAACTTAGCCTGGAACCATTTGTGACTTATTAAGCCCATATTACAACCTTTACGGAAAGCTTAATAAATGTTTGGCCCATATTAGAAATCCTCCTAACATCTTCTTAAGAAATTTTGTGATCACGTGCGGTGAGTTAGGGTTAGGTATTTCCTAATTGGGATTTCGTGCTGAGAAGTTCACTACATTTGCAACGAAAAACAGAAATTTCAGTACAGACATTCCGGGTAACGTGCAGAAAAATTTGAAATTTTCCGCATCGTCTTTTAACCAAACCACCAACCACCATAGAAAAAAAATTAAAAATTCTTCATATTGATTTTTCCTTGTTAACGAAACCACATAGTAAACTAAGAGCCACAACATGTCTGACGTTGAAGAACAATACGAAGAACAACCACAAGAAGTCGTTCAAGAAGAATTACAATTAGTTGAATTAGCTACTCCTATCCCAGTTGAAGTTCAAGAAGCTCAAAGAGAAGTTAAGTTATTCAACAAGTGGTCTTTTGAAGATGTTGAAGTCACTGACGTTTCTTTAGTTGACTACATTCAAATCAGATCTCCAGTCTTTGTTTCCCACACCGCTGGTAAATACGCTGCCAAGAGATTCAGAAAGGCTCAATGTCCTATTGTCGAAAGATTGACCAACTCTTTAATGATGAACGGTAGAAACAACGGTAAGAAATTAAAGGCCGTCAGAATCGTTAAGCACTCCTTGGAAATCATCCACGTCTTAACTGAACAAAACCCTCTCCAAGTCTTAGTTGACGCTATTGTCAACTCTGGTGCCAGAGAAGATTCTACCAGAATTGGTTCTTCCGGTACTGTCAGAAGACAAGCTGTTGATGTTTCTCCATTAAGAAGAGTTAACCAAGCTATTGCTTTATTAACCATCGGTGCCAGAGAAGCTTCTTTCAGAAACATCAAGACCATTGCTGAATGTTTAGCTGAAGAATTAATCAACGCTGCCAAGGGTTCTTCTACTTCTTACGCCATCAAGAAGAAGGATGAATTAGAAAGAGTTGCCAAGTCTAACCGTTAAGGAAAGCAAAAGGGAATATATACTTGTTACATTATTTTATCATTTTATATTCAAATCATTAATATATTAAGGGTTCATCGTGTATTTTAATTCATTATTTTTTGAGGACATCTAATGTATAAATGAAAATTAATAAAAAGCGTATCTACGATAGTCTAGATCTCTGTAGAACATCAGACAAACCTTCTAAAATCTTTATTATGAATGATGAAATAAATAAACTATTAAATAAACTCTATACACTAACACTACACTCTAACAGGGTAGACAATTCTTACCAAATAGGCCATAGGAGTTGGTCTTAAATAACGATCATATCTATCGATTCTCTCAAGTAAGATCTCTTCTTGATCCATTTCCTCGGCGACTTCGTCCCTTGATTTCAAATATCCATTTCTGGTTACCCCTTGTAATTTATCTAGCTGCTTTTGTGCGCATGCCCGTCTTCTACGCAAAAGCTGCCTAACCAAAAATCCTCTAAGCAAAAGCATAAACAAAAAGCATGCCAAAAAGCAAGTACCAGCAAAGATTTGTGTATGCAAATACGGTCTGGAGCTGCTGTCCACCAAGGATAACGCAATAACTTGACAGACAAGACAGAAAGGACTAACAAACATATTGATACCCGACCAACCAGCTGGCAACTTTTCAAGGTTATCTTCCAAGACATCCGCAAGAAGGGGTTGTGCCATTGATGAACCAACACCAATAATTAACCCAATGAGGCAACTAAAAGCAATCAACGAACCATAAGTCGATGCATTGATCCAGAATGCATAAAGCAAGATACTGATCATTAAGCTTAGTCCTGTCGTGAAATTAGCTCGACCTATTCTGTCAGCTGTCACACCCATACATGGACGTCCTACAACTTGGGCCGCATTCAAAACTGAAGTAAGTATTGATCCTTGTTGCTGTGTTAAACCAACCAGTGTTGCATATGAGGACAATGAAAATAACATTAACGTGTATCCAGTAAGTGCTATAGCAAACCAACAACTAAGAGCACAAATACCAAAGCTCTTGAACACAGTAGCATCAAAAATGACCTTGGTGTTCTCTTTAATAAACTGAAGACTTAATCCCTGCTTCAATGGGACTTGATTTGGAACTCTTGGCTTCATCACAATAAGTGTTATCAACGTTGCCGCAAGAGTCACCAATCCGACCATTCGAAGTGCCCATCTTTGATCCCCGGTTTGTTCAATAACTCTATTGATACTAAGCGAAAAGATCAAACCTCCTAACCCTGCACCAGACACTGCAATACCCATCGATGTTGCCTTTTTCTTATCAAACCAGGTCGGTAATACTAAAGTCACAGGAATGAAAATTAATACGAATGAGACCCCAACCAAAAAACCTTGGGTCACATATAAATGCCAAATCTTGGTGGCATAAGATGCAAGTATATAACCCGCAGTTTGAATAATCAACCCGACAAATAGCACCCTTCTAAATCCAATCATTTTATGAAGAAGTGCACCAAATGGGGATAAAAAGTTTGCTAAAAACACCACCATCCCACCAATTAATGCAAAATCATATTGTGTAGCTTCCGGAAATGTATTGGTTGAAAGATAGAACGATAAGAATACACCATAACTGGCATTAGCACCCCATGTTGCAAATATGGCTAATAATCCACACAATGCCATAACCCATGCAAATCCTTTATCTTTAGGTGGACCTTGATCGATCTCCTCTTCAGCAGATCGGGTAGACTCGAGGTTAAGTCGAGAAGTCTTTCTATCTTCTTTTTCTCCGGTTGATTCTATATCTATTATTGAATGTGCTCTTGATGCATGTTGTGAGACTAAATCTAACTGATTCGCCAATATAAATTCAGCATCTCTTCTTTCTGAATATTGTTGTTGTTCCTGAATATCTAATTGGTGATCATCAAGGATACCTGTAAGTATTCTGGAAAGCTCCGAATGATTTGTTCTGGTTTGTCTCAATGAATATGATGATACTCTGGATAAAGCATATGGTTTTATATCTTGTGGTTCATCATCCTTTGATGTATGCGATGTGTCTGAACTCCTTCGAGAGAAGGAAGCTGCTGGATTTACCGGGGACATATTTATCAAGTAGGCTGTTGATCTGATGAGTGGGTACGGAGTAATATACTTCTTGTCTCACTTGGGGGTCATAAAAATTCAACCACCAAAGGGCTGATGAATAATTAATTTGCGACTTTTAACTCATTTATATTTTAAAGTTTTTTTTTTTTGACTAATTCCGTTGTTGCTATACGGAAGCGCGCACCCGCCTACAAGAATTAATCCATTGTGAACTGTTTAATAACAGCATAATAACCGGGGAAAAACTATTATAAGATGGAATTAGTCCATGCAATGGTTAGCTACAGGGGAGTCAAGCAGATAGGCTTTGAAACCCCTATATATGTTTTACTCTGTCCGAGAGAATGAAGGTGGGTGAAAGAATGTGTTTGGTGGGATGTCATGCCGGTATTTCGTGATTCCCCACAGTTGTCTCGAACTGAAAAAATATTTTTCGCTTAGGCGTGCGAACGCTTGTCAAAACGGTGTCATTCGTTTATTAGGGAAGGAATCATCAATTGTACAATCAAGAACGGTATGTCATTGGGAGCACACCCAGAAGATTAGAAGATCATCAGCTCAGCATATGATCAAATGAGAAAAGATTGCATTTTTGAAAATCAGATTCATAAACTGAAAACTGAAAATAATACAAAAAAGGAACAATGGCTTTCAAGAGCGGAATAGTTTTCCGTTAATGTTCAGCCACATTTCTGGAAAATTCATGAACCACTTAAAAATGCAACCTTAAAAATGATATATAGTAGATACATGGAAGCAACGAAATTCCACAAAAAAAACAATTGCTGCAAAATAAAGAAGGCAGTCACCCAAGAAAGCATGTTATTGGATTGCAATTTGTAGACCATCATTTTACATGTTTCCCTTGTCCATTAATCTTCATTCGGTTTGCTTGCTGAATTTTTCTATCTAGAGAGTGTTACCCGGTTTTTCCAGAGACAATCCATTGGATTACGCTTATTTCAAGAGATCTCCGTGGGGTTTGTAGTTCTTCTTGTTTCCATCAAAACCTTTCCATTCAGTTTCTCCTATAATTAGATCAGGATCAGCTTCTTCTCATAATTCCAAGACGACGAAAATACTAGCTCTTGGATTATTTTTTATGTTTCAGCACCTCGCCATTCGATTTGCTTCTCGTTCCATTCCATTCTATTTTCCGGTACGGTGAATGGTATAGTCTGGCTGTTACCTGTTACCCTAAATTAAACAAACTAAACCAATCATACCAGCTAGTGGATAAACATACAAAGATGGTTCTTAAGAATTCAACATGCGACAAGAAAGCAAAATAAGAATACTTGAAGAGACACGGAATCGCTCCATCCAAACCAGCACAAACTGCCACCGAAACTTCTCATTCCAAATGGTCATCCAAGAAACAAATTAATTCAAATAAGCCAACGTTAGAAGATTGTGAAGATGAATGGGATTCCGATGTTGACAATGCATTGATCATTTCTATACCCAATTGGATGGGGGATAATCACTTGAACCAAAGATCAAGATCAAGAAACAGATTTCAAGATTTAGAATCAAGAAATGCAGAATCAGAAGCTCCCAAAAGTTCAATTTGGATTATCTTTTATGAATTGATAAGGATAAAAAACTCCGGAAGAAGATACTGAGAAGAGCGCTGGTAAATATTCCAATTCATTTTTTAATGAATTTACCAGAAACGAAGATACGAAACCTACTGTAACGTCAGACAAGCCAAAGTTTCAATTTCATAAAAAAGAAGATGAAGTTTTCTTAAATTGATTGTTAAAATAATTTCTCATTTAGTCTAATCTATCTGCCAATATAGTCGCTAAAATATCTGCATGCTTACCACTAAAGATACGACCGAACTATGTTTGGAAGATCAACATCCGATTTGGACATAATTTCTAGGGTAGATCCAGAAAGAACGTCCGACTTCTGGAGGCAACGTACGGATGAAAGAATATGGGCGACACCAATACCTTCATATCAAACAATTCAATTGAAGAGGCAACGGAATTTGTCGAAAGCACGGTGATGAAATGGTCAGTAGTAGAGTAAACTATTACAATTAAGGTGAACTGGAATCTTTATAGCAAAGAAATTCATTAAATCGAATATACAATAGCTAAATAAGAAAGCGAATGAAATAACAGAATCAGCCAAGAAAAGCATCTAGCACCAACGTAAAAATGGGACCCCCTCCCCATCTCCAACTCATCCAAAGTCTAGATTAAACCAATACTTCTTCATTGAAATCAGATAAAAACTCAATCACATGAAGTAACCATTGTCAAAGTGAATAATTAGCATGAATAGAAAGTTCCTTTATGTTTTTTTTTTTTGATTTTCATGTCTGCAGCCATGAAGGGAGAAATGCATTTACGCACGAGTTAACAGTGTGGGACTCGACCTTTCGGTAATACCCACTAAAACTCCCTTGAAATCCCCCTGTATCCCAAAAAATAGCCCCCAGTACCCATAATATCCATCATAGTAATTAACCGTTGCCCAAGCGGATAATTCAAATGAATGGAAAGTGCAATGCACCAGTATATCCCAAAAATTAGCCCCCAGTACCCATAATATCCATCATAATAATTAACCGTTGCCCAAGCGGATAATTAAAATGAATGGAAACTTTAATCCCCTCAGGTCAACAATCTAGATTAAGTCAAGCCTTCTTCCCTGAAATCAGATAAAAAATCCAACACACGAATTAGCCGCTAGCTAGTCGACTAGTATGAAAGAATTTAATCGATTCGTGAAATCCAGCCCAACTCTCTCCAAATTGCATCATCCCTGATTCCTGATCTCCATGTTGATTTTTCAAAAGTGATCTTTTAATCTCTAATATGATGGCGGTTGGAACTTTGATTTAAAAATATTGATTAATGGAATACGGAACAGATTGAAGGATAATGAATTGGATTTTTTTCGGAAATGATTCAATGATAATAATAAACATAACAAGGAACATGACTGGATTGTATGAATAGGATGAATGGTTGTAGTAGTTAAATAGACAAGAAGAAGAAGAAGAAGAGAAAGAAGAAAACACAAATAGTTTTGTTTTCAGTGGGAAATATATGATTTTTTGCTTGTGGTCAAATTGCAACAAATTTTGCAATTGTTTTTGAAAAATTGCACGACTAGAAACATTGCACAAAAAGGATAACAACTTATTAATTTAATTAAATAATTACTTAGATCCTGAAATATCTCAAATCAATTGTCTCTAAATTGTCATTCTAAACATATTACAAATAATATACAAATATAAATACACACTCATAATAAAAATCATCTCCTCTTCTTCCCAGTCACTGTAAAACTTCCAACATCCTCATGATAAATATACTTATTATTCTTCAAATATTGTCCCACAAACCTCTTAATAACAGCTCTTCCTCCAGCCGAATGCATACCCCTTCCAGTAATCAATCTAACTGGTCCAATAAGGGCATTATCCCCGTAGGAGCTCCATTTCCCATTATGTTCTCTTTCTTTTGTTTCTTGATCCCACCAATGGTTCAAGACTAATTTAACTAATTTCATAGCTTCTGTGAGTGTGAAGCCGTGTAAATCGAGTACACCAGATCTGAGATATGTATCAAATCGTTCACGATGTAATGGATCGGCAATAAATTCTGCACTTCTGGTGTTGTTGGAATTCGAAATTGTCATATGGGAGAATTTCTCGGATATCAGAAAGTTTGGATCTTTTTCATATCGTTTGACAATGGGCTTAATATGTGATGGTCGCTTATGGTTTAAATCGGACATGAGTGCCACTACTTCATATGGATCCCCTTGAAAGAATTCTAATGCGTTTTCGAATAGTTTATATTTGAAATTGTTCTTGAACTCTTCGTTGCTTTCATATATTGAAAGTAATTCTAACGCTTCTGTACAATTGGGATTGTATTTATATGAACTTTTGACTAGTTTGGTGGTAGTTGATACATTCTGTCTGTTGTTTCTATTCGCTATTCCTCCACCACGTTGTACCCTACCACCTGGCCCGACTCTCTTAGTCAATGTTTGTTTTACCATTGGGCGACAATTCATGAGTATACCAACCATGGCATTATAATAGTCCCCACCTGCCCTGACTTCTGTTAGTATATCTTCCTGACTCACATAATACTTATCGCCCAAATAGTCTTTAATTTGATTAGCGATGGAAGATAGGTCGTTCCATTCGTTAACTTTATCAATTTTCTTGTTATCTTTTGGTTGTTCTAATAGTTCCAAACAAGCTTGTTCGGCATTATTATTACATTCACGCAATTTATCAGCAATGGTAGCTAGATCCAAATGTGGCAATATTTCAAATAGTTCATAAACAGCCTGATCATAATTATACGTATCTTCAATAGCCCGGGCACGTGCCTCTGTCTGTTTTTGTTGTTGATGTAATAATTCTTTTGATTCAGTTTCAATAAATAGTTCTTCAATCAATTCTTGAATATCTTCAGTTAATTTCAATCTAAATTTCAATTCAGTTTTAGGAAATGTTGGAAATAGGTTGGTTAAATGTTCAATTAATTCTAAAAATTCGGGATTGGTATCTTGGTCATCATAGACATATTCGGCATATTCTTCTTCATTCAATTCAAGATATGTTGCATCTGTACTACTATTGGTACTGCCGCTAGGAGTCATAGAAGCAGATTCTGAGCTTGCGCCCAGGGTGGATTCAGGTAGAGTTTCCAACTCATTCGTGGGTGGGTCTAATTGTTGATGAGGTGTATCTACTTGGGTCATAATACTATTGTCTTAGAATGTTATTTTCTAATACTGGATCCTGGGAGTGGAGAGTAAGTTTAGTATTGGTGATGATGTTGCCTTCAGTTTAGCATCAGTTATAATTAGTTGTATCAAATGAAAGAGAGATAAACAACAAAATCATCTAAATCAAGAAAATTGTGAATCTGAATGAAATTTATTTGACGCGGTTGATATTTTTTCGGCCCAAACAAATTGAAAAAATAAACTACATGAGGGGAGTACCAATCCAGTTGAACTATTGGCTTGAAAGATTGGCTTTTGAGAGAATTATAATTATAAAGAAAGCTTAATGAGAGACCCCTCCCTAAGCCAACTAAGAGAGTTAACGACATCGGTTTGTAGAAGCCATGTTTTGTTTTCATCGAAAATAATAATTTTATATTTCCTACGTTTTTTGACTATATTTTGTCTATATACCCGAGGCACTGGCCGAAGCCCTGGGGAGGCCAACGACTAACCTAACGAATTTCGTTTATTTGCCACACTAATAGCTTTCAACCCACTAAACCACTTCGCCATATCATCTTCATTCCCACAACTAATTCTAATCCTCTTCAATGGGGTGATTATCAACAAACACCATAACTTAGTCTTACTTAATGGATCTAATTCAATTACATCATGAATATCATTCACTTTAAACACCTTGAATGGAACATTATTATCATCTTGTTTGGATTTATCTTTATAAAAGAGTAATCGTTTATTCGTTAGGACTAACCAAGTTCGTTTCCATTGATGTTCGAAGATTTTATTATGTTTTAATAATTGGACATATCCTTGTTCGATGTTGTATTCCGGTATGGATTGAATCGAGGCTGTAGAAGTTTTTCGAACAGTCGTACTATTATCCTCCGTGGTTGCCTTGGGGATTGGTGTTGTTGGAGAAGTGATTTTTAGATCTTCTTCAGTTTCTTCTGGTTGAATTTGTAATTTTCCAATCTTGGGTGATCGTATTACTTTTATGGGTGTGAGTGGGACATCGGGGGTGACTCCTCCTTCTGAAAGACTGAAATCTTCTCCTCCAGAATATTCTGCAGTTGAAGCAAAGCCATCTTGAGGTTTGGTTGTTGCGGTGGTAACAGAAGGAAAAGTCGTGTCATTTGGGGAAGTATTGTCTACTTTGTTCTCATTGGGTTCTACTTGTGCATTCTCTTGTTGTTCTTGTTGCTGTTGTTGCCGTACTGTTTCATTCTCTTCGTTTTCCAGTTCCTGATCATCTTCATCCCCCTCAACATTCTCATCATCAGCTTCACCCTCTTCTTCCGTACCCTCCCCAACATTATTATCCCTCTCTTGGAAAAACTTTTCCAACCCATTTATCCAAAAATTAAACACATCTTCATTATCTGCTTTAAAATGTATGATTTTTTTATTGGTATAAATAGCAAAATGAAATCGATTATTATCAGGTATAATATTAAATGATAATAAATTATGATAATTATATACTTTATCAGCTTTATGTTCACGAGAATCTTTATAATAACTCAATTGACATTGTCTTAATACAACCCATTTCCTTTTCCATTGTCTTGTTGTCGGGGATCTCTTATATAATATTGAAGATATTAATACTTGATTATTGTCAAATGGGTTTGGTGGAGCCATCGGCCGAGATGATGCTAGTTGATTTGACCCGAGGGGATCTATTTGAGTAGCTGAATTGTTCCTACTACTAGTTTGTGATTTCAGCATTTGTGAATTGGGTAGGTGTGTATGCAGAGTATAGTGCTTGATTAATGAAAGTTGTTTCTTCGTCTTCTCCTATTCGATTTAACTATGGGGCAGAGTGGAACAATTAAACGAACAGATCTGCGGAAAAAATCGCTTTGAAAAAAAGGGGCTGGTGGGAGAGAAAGAAATAGAGAGATATGAAACAGACTAAAAATGGGACAGCGGACCAATGTACAGTATGAAAGAAGCTTTGCATTGGGAATATACAGTAAAGGTACTGCGTGACTCAGTGGTTCTACTGGTGTCATTTTTATGGGTGCTTTTTTTTGGGAAGTAATCTTGAGATCCGTAGGAGTCCTTCTATGGGAGATTGGTAACCATTACAACTAGCACTTTGGGGGGGATTTAGGAAGAGGAAGCGGGAAAGGCATTGGGATAGATTGACTCTGAATCCCGAACGGCCAATTGCGGGATGTGTGAATACTTAATATTGGATCCAATCATACCCAGTAGAAGAAAATTCATAACCATAAACATACAATAATTCATGGTACATTGAGAAATATTTCAAAGCGACGGTTTTAACGGTTTCTATTATTAGATTGGTTATGATCACCTTATTGGATCTTTTGGGAAGGAAAGATTGATAGAATCTTAGTACTGTAGTGATTACTTTTGAATGGTCTTCGTTTAAGTACCCTTCAGTAGCTTTTTCTGTTTATTTCCCCGGGGCTCCTCCTTTGCCACACCTTTAATAGTCGTGTGATTTTTGTTTAATTGACAACCTCATCGCATTTGAAAGGCGGTTTTTTTATAAGAATGGTTTGTTACTTGTACTATTAGCGGCTAACTTTTCTTTAATCAAAACAAGGTAAACTAATTTGGAATGAATTCCTTTTTAGTATCGGGTGGATTATGCCGCATGGTTAATTTCTACTTTTTGTGTCAGAATCTATGACAACACAAAGTTAAATTAACAATTGATTCACATTTCAACTAATAAGAAGAATGGCAAAAGCCATTAGTCAAAGCGAGAAATGATTTAGTTTGTTATTGTTACACTAAGTATGGAATCTCCATTATTCTCATACGCACAGCCTGTGGTAGTTTTACTCTCTATAACTTTCTGTTCTTTAAGTAGTTAGAGCTTTCACGTGTGATCTACCCTGTATGATTTCTAAAAAGAGTTAAAGAAAAGCCGTTGGTTTAGAATGAAGCGTGTTCTTTCTTACTTAGTTATTGAATTTACACACTTGATTTCAATGGTTTGGTCCCCTTGTTCCGGGCTTAATTGACTTTTCACTTAAGCTTTCACTCCATCACTTAAGCTTTCACTCCATAAACTTTATATTATCAATTTGATTAATTTAATTTAATCAATTCTTGGTCATAGAAAAAAAAAAACCTTAATTTAAATCATTTAAATATTTCCTTTCGTTCTTCTCTTTCTTTCGTTCTTCTTTCTCTACCTATTAGAATTATTATCATCCCTCCTCCCACTTTATAAATTTTAAGAATCATAAAATTAATTTTATAAGTTTTCCAACAACATCATTTTTTTTTAATTTCATTTTCCATTGATTCCTTAAATCAATACACACATAACAACGACATCCCATCAAGTATAGATTACAACAGATGACTGATGGAATATTTCATAGTATAGCTCATACGGCAGAACATCACCACCCCCATCACCCTCACCCTCATACACAACATCACAATCAATCACCACCTCTACCAGCACCTCCACCAGTATTAATCACAACTTCAACCCCTACACCTCCACTTGCAGACAATCTGACTCCTGACAGAGAAACTCCAAGTCCAAAAACAAGAGTTGAATATTTAAGAACTGCCCCTAAGTTAACTCAACATCATAGTGATACTGAAGTTGTTACCCGAAAATTCTTTAACACCGTAATTGAAAGACGAAGTTCTTCACCTCATCCAGGTGGTACTGATAATGAAAGTGATCATAATGAAGAAGAACATATTGATGATTTATTAGATTATTTCAAACATAAACAATCGGAACAATATCGAACAATTCAATTTAAATCAACTCCACCAAAAACAACAAAAAAATATACAAATCAAGTTTCATTTAATGAAATCAATTTACAATGTGATGATGATGATGAACCTGAATGGGATGATGCATTAGGTTGGGAATTATTTATGACAAGTGGTGGTAAAAGACCAACTAGTGCTTATGGATATTCATCATCTTATGCTCGAGGTAGAGATTCAAGTTTAAGATCTCCATCACCCGGTAAAATTTCACCCTCCCCTTTGGCTTCTCCAACAAGAAGAAGTGGAAGTGGTGGTATGCTTGATGAAGGTCCTCATAGTATAACTGAAATGTTGGATAGTTTAAGTATTAATAGTCTTAATCAAGTTATGTATCCAACAGAACGAATTGTAACTCATAGATGTGCATCAGTCACCAAAAGACATAGATTATATGATAAATTATATAAATATCAATTATATCCACTTAAACCGATCTTACCTAATAGAACTATATTAGTATTTTTATCAGGTAGAAAACATACTTGGGTTGCATTGGATTGGATATTACAAAAATTTATTGAAAATGGAGATAATATAATTGTTGTTTCGGCAATAAATTCAGCCTCATTATTTGATAGTAAACGAAAATCAAGAAGAGGCTCATCTTATACTTCCCCAATTAGAAATCATCCAACTACTCCAATTATGAGATTCCGTCAACGTACAAAACCAGAAAATTTAATAAATATTACCAATGATATAATGTCTTATATAATGCAAATTATTAATCCAAATATAATTGCCAAAATTACAGTAGAAATTGTAGCTGGGAAAACTAAAGATGTTTTAAAAGAAATGTATCATTTATATGAACCAAATTTAGTATGTACTGGTACAAAACCAAATCTGAGAACTGGAGCTCCATTGAAATCTTGGAATTCTTCAAAATTAACTGATCGATTAGTTAAGAATTTCACATTACCTGTAATTGTTGTACCTGCTGTAAATATGGGAAAATTTGAATTGGATTTACAAAAGAAAATGAATGAAATGGCAGATGAAAAAGAATTGGATACTCCAAGCACTACGACATTAATGGATTATCAACTTAATGAAATAGATGAACAAGGAGAATTACCAGATGAAGACGAACTAGGTGCTGATGAATTAAGTGATATTAGTCGAACCGAAAGTGAAGATTCCATAAATTCTCATACATCAACTCATTCATCTGATACCACATCTTCAGTAGAATCATATGATTCATATGATGAGATTTCTCGATTATACATGAATTACAAACAAGAAGTTTCCCAATCCCTTAAATCGATACGTAAATCAGAGCCATTGGATGAAGAATACTACTTAAAACAAGCTAAATTAATCTCCGATAAATCTGCCGGATTATGTCATGAAATAATGGAAATTGATCCTGATTTTAGAGGACAGGGGAGTAAATTAGCCAGAATGATAACTGGGTCAAATTCATTCGGTATCGTCCCATATAAGACCAAATCATTATTAGATCCCGTGAATGTTCCTCCACAGCATAAGATGTCTTTCAAACAAGTACAAGAACAACTTAAACGAAATCGTCAGAAAGCAACATTAGGACCACCTGAGATTCTCATTCAGTCACCAGCTTCAGAAGAAAGTCCTAGTCTACCACCACATCCATCCGCATTGAAATTCGTAGAACCATCGAGGAATGGAACAACAACTAGTAGTAGCCAGAAAAAGGATAGTTTGAGTGTGGCTGCAAAGAATAAAGGAAAGAGTTTGTATAAGTCGTTAAGTTATGATGTGCCCTCAAGACAACCTGAGTTGAATGTTCTGAAGTCACATCCTGATGATTTGAAATTGAATAGAGATAGATCTACCAGAGAATTAGTGAGTGAGAATGAAGGGATAGATAATAGGAAGAATTCAAAGTCGTCATCATCAAAGAAGAAGTCAAAGAAGAAGCTGAAGTTTTGGAGTTTGTTCAAATAGAAAGAATGTAGTATGGACAAACAATTTTGTAAATATTGACATTTAGTTTTATAGTAATAGTCATAATTGATAATATAGCCAATGGTTTATTAGTTTAAGCCGTAGTTAGTAATTTCTAATCCTGACATTTGGTAGCAGTTTATTATCGTTGTCAATTGATATTGGCTTGCGTATTTAATTCTATAGCTTTTTTTTCTCCCTCATAGAAGAACACCTATTTTTAGGCTGAGTATCTAGAATTAATTCAGATGAGAAAGAGGATCAGCAGCAACTAAAGAACTATGAACTTGTTAACATATATTATACTACTCCTACTATCTTCCTTGCAGTTGGTTCATTCTGCGATTCAGGACATTTATCAATTTGATAATGAAGCTTTATCTGACAACTCAACTACGGTAAGTATTTCAAATATACACGAAAGAGATGATGATCATTCGACAGGATTACAAGATTTCACACCAATCAGAGACTCCATATTGCAATCACAAGTCAAATACTATTCCTTCAATGTCAATAAAACTGGGGTTGGTGAAAGTTATCAATTAATTGTTTTCTTAACTGGAAATATCTGTTCACAACCACAAGGTATAAACCCCAATGAGACATCTCTTGCAGTCTATTATTCATTCAATTCTACCATGTTTACAAATAACGAAATTGGACAAATGAAATTATTCCAAAGTGGTTATTTCCAAGCTTTGGCAGCATTAGAACCCCTGGAAACAACAGCCAGTGCCCCCAAGACCCAACCAGTAGAGCAAACGGTGTTATATATAGCAGTACGTGCTCCTCAAAATACAAACTTAACAGCCGAGTGGACTTATCAAATCGGGGTATCCCAAAATGATTTAGTATTCCAATGGGATGAGACATCAGCCGTAAGCGTTGTCGATGCCGATGATACCAATGTCTTATTAATTACCAGGAATTTAACTGTAGATACGGATGATATATCTAGTTTAAATGATTCACAAGTTCCGTATTCGGTATATGTCTATCCATATGAATTCAAGGATTATTTTGCCGGGATTAATAATTCTTGGTGTGCTGTACGGAATGGACCTTCGATATTTGGACCAGGTGATTATAATACTTCATACACGAATAGAACTGGGGGGATACATCAACAAATCTTCATTCTGGGTTTGAATAGTTCGACTAAATACATTGCCTATACCATTAATGATAATTATGGGACCGAATATGGTGGTTCTGTATTTCATCCATTTGAATTTGAAACTATGGAAAGTTCCCCGTGTCAATTGATTTATGATTTAGAATTCTGTCAAAGTGTAGCCTATAGTGTCCCTGCCCCAGGGAATCTGACCGGTCCTAATCGAGATAAAAATGCCACGAAATGGTTATATGATTCATACGCCCAAGATCTTTATACAAATTTCAGTAAAGCATTAATGCAAATCGCATGTGATACTGTTCCAGAAGCGATATTTTCAAATTTAAAAACTTGTGATGATTGTGCAGATAGTTATAAAGATTGGTTATGTTCAGTTTCAATCCCAAGATGTTCAACCAAAAATATTACTGGATATAAATATCGAAAAGATAAAGAAGATCATAGAAATGATTTCATTAGGGATGTAATTCAACCTGATCAACCCTATTATGAGGTCCTACCTTGCATTGGAGTCTGTAATGCAATTGTACGTGATTGTCCTGCACAATTTGGATTCGAATGTCCTACAAAGAATGAATCGATTGCGTTGAGTTATTATTGGCCCAGGAAAGGTCAAGCAAATGAACAATGGCCATCTTGTAATAGAGTTGGGAAGATGGTGGTTAAGATACAGAGTGCTGGTAATAAGAGAATGGTTATAAATTGGGTATTACTCTGTTTAAGTATGTTGTTTCTTTATTTATAGGGAGTTGTTCTACTAATTATAATAAAATGCTAATCGTTCTAGAGCGGGTGTACCGAATGAAAAAAAAAGTTGATACGCGTCTCGTTCTACATCTCTTGATCGATTTCATTTATCTCCTTCTTTCTCATCTCTGTGAAATACACAACTACTACAAAGCACATATAATAGATAATGTCAGAAAAGAAAGATAACTTGCCTTGGTATGTATAGTTCATAATCCTGAATGAGTAAAAGTGACTCCCACTAACAATTAAAAATTTAGGGTTGAAAAATATCGTCCAGAAACTCTTCAAGATGTTTATGGTCAACAAGAAATTGTTGATACAGTTCGAAAATTTGTCCAGACAGGTAAATTACCCCATTTGTTATTCTATGGACCTCCGGGTACAGGTAAAACATCAACAATCGTAGCATTAGCTCGTGAAATCTATGGATCCAATTATCGTAATATGGTACTTGAATTAAATGCATCAGATGATAGAGGGATTGATGTTGTTAGAAATCAAATTAAGAATTTCGCTAGTACAAGACAAATCTTCTCAACTAATGCTTTTAAATTGATTATATTGGATGAAGCAGATGCTATGACTTCAGTAGCTCAAAATTCATTAAGAAGAATCATTGAAAAATTTACCAAGAATTGTCGATTTTGTATATTGGCAAATTATTCTCATAAATTGAATCCCGCTTTGATTTCAAGATGTACTAGATTTAGATTTCATCCAATCGATGAAGCGGCTATTAAAAGTAGGATTGAAAATGTGATTACAAAAGAGCATGTCAAGATTGATAATGACGCCTTGGATGCCTTATTAAAATTATCCAAGGGAGATATGAGAAGAGCATTAAATGTGTTGCAAGCGTGTAAATCCGCTATAGGAGTTGATAACCCTCATGATTCAATTGATTTAGATATGATCTATGAATGTATTGGTGCCCCACATCCTCAAGATATCGAAACTGTCTTGGATTCAATTCTTAAAGATGATTGGACAACTGCATATATCACAATAAATAAATTCAAAACGGTAAAAGGATTGGCATTAATTGATTTGATTGCTGGATTTATTGAAATATTAAATAATTATAAATTAAAACCAAAAACTAGAATTGAAATTTTTAAGAATTTAAGTGATATTGAATATGGAATATCAAAAGGTGGTAATGATAAAATTCAAAGTAGTGCCATAATTGGAGTAATTAAAAATGCAATGGAAAATGAACAATAAGGGTGCTGTATTTCTTTAAATATCTGTATAATAGAAAGTAAAAAGAACAAATTTAGAATCTGAAACGTAGGGAAGCCATAAGCATGATACTTTGCCAATTCAGCAAAGCTACAACTAGCTTGTAAGGAAGCGTGTGTTTCACAGCTTAACTCTGTATGACCAGATCTCATAACTCTAGTTTCAAAGAGTCATTAGTGAACTTTGTATGGAGGCTCAGTATTTCCTTCAAGTGGATTTGGTATCGCGTTCTGTGATCAAATAGATAAATACCAGCCGTACATAGCCTTTGAACTGTAAGAAAGGTCTGCGATATCCTTGATAAATGTCTGTCTGAGTGGTGTCAATAACGTGCCGACACTTTTCAAGAAGAGCTTGCATTGATTTGGTTAAGTATCTCGGAGTGTTCCAAAAAATAACGATAATTCGTATCTTATCACATGAAAAGGAATAAACGCATAAAGTGATATTTTCTCTTATCTTTGGAACATGGGGGGGGTCTGGGCTCAATTCTCCTCCGCAATCTGTTATCTGACTCAAAGGCACACGAATGTAAGAAAATGGTGGCATTGTAATGCAGGATACTGCCGTTCGTAAATTGGAAGATACTGATGGTAAGGCTTTGCTTCGACTGTCTTGTCAACAGGCAAATTTTGCAACACTTTTTTAATTCCATTGCATCTGGTATAAAGATTGAAGGACCCTGGTTACGACAAAGTCACTAGTTTTGGTTGGCGTAACCGATAATTGTTACATTTTGTAAAAGTACCAAACTGAGGAAAGAATGTATTCACAATCTTACTACAAAAAAGGCACCACTTTTTTACCTTTCCTTCTTGCTGTGTGGAAGTCTGCAAACGCAAGATCTATGAAACTCTAAATCATTATACTCTCATATTATCTGCAAGCAAATCTGGTATTCTAACTCAGCCCTTAGTCATTCCTCAATGTTATTCATTCGTCGGCCATCACTCCTTGGACAGTATTAACTTCCCTGCAGAGAGGTTTGTATGCCAAGAAGTATGACCCCATGTAATTGTACGGACACATATCCACATGCACCTACAGCAGAAATGCGGCTATATTATTTATATGCGATCGGGACTAAGGTATCTGATGTAAATGAGGATCGCGTGAAGACGATTTGAAAAGTCTATTGCATATGAGCTTGAACTCACTATAAATATGAGGTTATATGAGGTTGTTGTCTCTCATTTATATACATCATTAATGTTTATTGTTTTCTACAAAAATAAATTAATGCTTTATTTCAATATTTTAAATAATGAAACTCGTTTATTCTTTAGCTATCCCATTCGTTGCTGCTGCACCTCTTGAAAATCTCATCAAAAAGGATGGTTGTAGTTCATGTCTTGATGCTGGTGTCTATTTACTTGACAAATGTCCGGACAAAGATCCTGAAAAATTAGCAGAATGTGTCTGTAAATTAGATGATGATTATTATGAAGATTTATATGATTGCTACAAGAACTGTGCTGATGCTGAAGCTGAGGAACAAGCACTGTCTCCTGAAGAACTAAGACAAGCTGTCTGTTTGGCTTATGATTTCCAAGTACCTAACAGTTCAACAAAGTCAACTATTTCCCAAGCTTCAACCACCTCCAGCTCTCAAGCTAGAACTCAAGCTGCTGAAAACGATGATGGTGCTTCCACTCAAGCTGCTGATGACCGTAATGTTGACGCTTCCACCCAAGCTACTACCACAAGTACTTCTGATGACTCTAATGAGAACTCGGGTGTTAGATTAGGTGCCGGTTCGTTGGTTTACTTACTTGCAGTCGCTTTGCTTTAAGTAATTGCATAGTTTTTATACGTTTTTTTTTTCATTTCTATATTGATTACGTAGACTTTGATACTAAACTTCTTATTTAGTAATATGTTTTTAGTTTAATTGAAATGTTTTTAACTTGCGAATAAAAATGGTAGCAGTAAAAGTATGTATTGTCATGTTTCAAAATGGCATCACCTACTTTTTAAACAATACATGCGAAAAGTGTGTATGATTGTATTTTGTCATCAAGGAAGCCGTTGAGCGCGTACAATTGCAGCCAACATATAATATAATGGATTCGGGTGTCATACATTGATGCATAATATTACAACAGACAACAAGCACACAAACTTTTGATTGATTGATTGACAAAATTAGTTCCATTATCTGTAATTAATTCACTGTGTATACTCATTTTTTTAAAAAAAAAATATAAATATATCCATTGTGTATGCCGCCAAAAGCAAATATTGTGAAACAGAGATATGCAGTAAATTATGAAACTCGCATCAGAAGATGACCCCTCATGACTGAGACTTGATAAGAAATCGAACAAACCACATCAGGAAATGTTCACCCTAGGTTGTGGTCGTCGAATTCCCAATTCGATAATTATTATTTCAGTATGTCGCACATAGTCCCAAACTATCAGCGAGAGCCAGAAAGGTAAACATGAACCTTCTCATGTGTAACAAACCGCTGTTATACCTATACTCCTAAATATAGTTCTTCAAGAGCTTCATTAAAATAGTTTATCATACTTACGATTTAAATTAATCAGTAGATTGGGATTTTGGCCCAGAAAAGATTGCGAATGTTTTAGAGTCAAAAATTGACACATTTCAAATTTTTGTTCTTGCAGCCATTGTCAATTCCAGATCAGGAAATATCTTTCAATTTTTTTTATAACAAGATGAGTTGGTCTGCAATAAATAACACACATTTGAGAAGACTTCTACTTGTTTTATTACGAGAGGACCATTTACGGAATATCCTAGACCGAACCCGGTTTCATGTCAAAGATTACATTTTGTTGGAATTTTGTTTTTGCAGCCATTGTCAAATCCAGATTAGGAAATGCCCTTCAATTTTTTTTAAAACAAGGTGAGTTTAATTTGCAACAAGATGACACATTCGACAAGTCTTCTACTGGCTTTATCCCAAGGGAAACATCTGAGGAATATCCGGTTTCATGACAAGAATTACACTTTTGTTGTAAATCCATAGTCTGCAACCTTCTTGGAACTCATTTCTGACAACTATAAAAGGGAGTTCAAAACTCTCTTCAAATTGGAATGTTTTATTCTTTCTTTCTTCACTAACAAAACTAACAAATTTACAATGGCTGCTCAAAACACTAACGCTAAGGCTCAAAAATCTAAGACTGACGATGCTGCAAGAGACAACTGGGGATGGTGGTGGAGACCAGGTAGTAATGCTAAGTTTTACGCTTCCTGTAACATTATGTAAGATATACATAAGTAAGAAGTTGATCGTTATTTGACTTGGTTGAATTAAGTAGAGTTTTTTCTTGATAAATATATTATAATAAATATGGTTTGGCTTCTTTTAAAGATTTTAAATGTAGTTAACTTTTGTGAATTGGATTGAAGGTGGGAGCGCAAACGGATTTTTACAAGAAATTTACTTCGTATGAAACTAGAAAAGTAGACCACTATATAGTCATGCTAAGAAGAGTGACATCCAGCAGAGAATGTACCTGTTAATTTTTATATATGCAACTTGTAAATGTATTTGAATGATTTATAGAAGAAAAGATATAAAAGATATAAATTCACGTGACTTCTCGATTAATTTATGTATAACGAACTGGAAGGTTTTCATTTTGTTCATAAATGACAAACTCTGAACTTGGGCTTTGTGTTTGCCTCTTTAACTATTAAGGATGATTTTGTGACCGATTTGAATTATAAACCCCCCTTAGTTTTGAAGTAGGTATGGATTTTTCTTCGTCTGTTTTTTAAGGTTAGAAGTCTAACTTTTTGTTTATCATATCTGAGAGTACCACGGGGATCCCCTTGTAGAATCAGTACAAAGATATGAAGCTTCTGGCTTGATGAAAGAAATCCCAGCAATTGTGATTCAAAAATGGGAATCCTTTTCCGACTAGGCCCTTTTTATGGGGAATCTAAGATCAGTTAAACTCTACTTCATCGTATTTACCCTCTAGACGATTTAGCGACTTCTTGCTGGCTACTGGTGCTCGTTTTTTCGATATTGACAATATTCCTCTCCTAATTGGATTCCTGAGCCCTCTAACTTATGACATAGAAAGATCGTCCATCAACAAGTATGATCGTGTCCACATGAACCTTCAGTAGAATAGTGGCAATCTTACCAATAATAGGTTTCTATTTGATCTGGTAGTAAACCCCTAAAATCGGGTATTCAAGATTTCAAATTAAGCTTTGATACATACGAATATGAACCTAAGGTTATATTCTCTCTCCTTTTCGTATCCCTACGTTCATAACACCTATAAAGGTAAGGCTATATTCTCTCCTTTTGAATCCCTTCCTTCACTGCTATTTTTCAAAATTCACTGATTGTAACAATTCCTATGAAATTCACTTATTCATTAGTTCTTCCATTGGTCGCTACTGCTACTTCTGCAATCCATATTGACAATCTTATCAAAAGAGATTGTGAAACGTGTCTTGATGCCGCTTTATATTTAGCAAATGAATGTCCACTCTTAGATCCGGAAGAAATATTACAATGTACTTGTAATTTACAAAACTCGTATTTTGAAGATTTGCTTGAATGTTATCAAACTTGTGCTACAGTTGACGGAGATTTTAGAGATTCTCAATCGGCTGCAGAATTAAAAGCGGCAATTTGTCAGGGTTATGATTTGGAAGATGTATCTGACAACAGTTCAACAAGTGGTACCGCCGGGAGTGTTGATGAAGAAGTAGAAGACTCGGTCCAATCTGAAAGTGCTGATGTTGACACTTCTTCCACCCAAGCGGAAAGTAGCAGTACCATAAGTGCTGCTGATAGCTCTAGTGAGAATGCGGCTGTTGGGTTAGGTGGTGCAGGTTCGTTCGTATATTTACTTGCTGTGGCTTTACTTTAAAGCAACTTTCGTATACTTTTATAGTTCTTTTTCATTTCTGTCTTTGATTAGTTACCTTAGAGTTTTGATAGTGGCTCTTCTTTATGTAGCAATTCATGTGATTTTATTTTATGGGAATTAAAGCATATTTTTATTAGATTTATTAAGCATACCAATTTTATACGTGTATCTCGCTTATCTGATCATTCGTCGTTGATAATATTGGGGGGGCTGAGAAAGGACATTGAATATAAGGCTTAGCTTTAAACGAGCGGGTTTTCCAATCTCTCTATGTATTTACATGTCAAATCAACTATCTGTGAGTTGATGTGCACATGCATGCAAACGAAAATGAATGTATCATGACCAGGGTTAGGAAACGAATCGGGTATTTATTCGGGTATATTCATTCAACCCGAATAAATCGAATTTGGGATTAGGGAATACTCGTTCCGAATAAATAGGAGTCGCTGGATGGGTGAATCGGGTGAATTGGGTGCCGTGAAGGTTGATTCGAAAAATTCGTGTTTCAAAATGTATGTAGTTTGCAACAAATACTAAGCAAAATTTTCTCTGTCTACTGAAAACAAATCAGAAAAACAAGCTTCTAGGCCAATTTTTAATAAATCTGCTTGGACGATTTGCAATTTAAAACGCGTTAGAAACATGCGTATTTAGTATTTTTTGCGTGATTTTCATTTTTTTTTTTTACAAAAATAGGTATTTACTTGATCAAGAATACAAGTCTCTTGAGAATGAATTGAAAGAAGTGTCGTCTGACATTTCAGAAGGTGAGATTGAGCCTGAACCAAAAGTGAATGACCTTAACCTCTACAATTTCAAGAGAAAGAAAAACAGTGAGGTAGACTCATATATAATCGATCCGACTATAGACAGGTTTGCAAGTGCGCTTGATTATTGGAAGGTGAAACAGGATGTGTACCCTATTCTTAGTATTTTGGCAAGACGATATTTTGCCATACCTGCTACGTCAGCTTCTGTTGAAAGCACATTTTCGATTGCTAGGAATATCATCTCCTACCAACGCAACCGCCTTCTGCTGCTGAATGCTAAGAAACTTATGCTTTTGAAGAGTTGGGGGGTAAATGGAGAAGAATTGGAAGAATCTTGATTCAGAGAAGATTGAGCGTATAAGTCTTTAAAGTTGATAAAGTAAATAGAACTTCTAAGTAATGTTTATAAATCATTAAATGTTTGTGCCAAGTAATTACCATATTAGTTTCGGGTATTCCGAATATTTCGAAATTCAGTTCGAATTTGACTGGCTAGCTTCTTCGAGTGAATCGGGTATTCCAGCAAAATGTAAAAACGAATCAAAAAACCCGAAATTCGGAAAATTCGATTCGTTTCCTAACCCTGATCATGACAGATGTTAATTCCAAGAATAGATTTAAAATCTACAAACTGGTGTCATTACGCTCTGAAGCAAGGAAGGCTCAGTTTTTATATTGTCAAGAGATTATCATTATCAGTTTTTCAAAAGAGTTGCAAAACTTTTTTTCAATAATTCAAAATTATTAAAACATATGTATTTTATTGATAAAGATAGTAAATAATCTCTTTCAAAGAGAAACCACTATAATTATTGATTAATAAACACTAAATAAACAAGATGATAAGAATATAGAAATAAAATAATAATATAAAAAAAGGGTTAAATTGAAAAACATTAGATAAAAATTATATAGCAATTGCAAACATTGGGGGATGAGTGAGATGGATGAGGTGAAGGGGGTGGAGGTATTATTCATCATGTGGTTTATCTAGGAGCTGGGACAGCTTCAATATTTGGATTATAATTAGCTTCATCATTTGGGTTATGGTCAGATTCATCTGTATGTTCTGGATACTTATTTTCTCTTGCTTCTTCATCAGTAGAATGAACACCAACATTAGCTTCTTCATCACCAACCGCTGCACCTTCACCAGCACCAGCTACACCAGCTTCTTTATTGGCAACACCACCAATTGGTTTACATGCTGCTTGTGAGTAATCAGACCAGATAGCACCCCATTGATAAGTAGTAAATTTAAAAGTATGAGCGAAACCATAAGTTTGCATTTCTGGAATAAAAGAATAAACAAGGAATAAAGTAAAACTTCCAGAAAATAATAACCAATTAAATAAAGTGAATGGAATAAGTGCCTTTAATAACAGACAAATGGTATCATCATTATGGAATCCAAAGAAACTACATGAAGTAGTTGGTGTAATATCAGCAATTGCACCCATTGCAGCAAGATAGAAAATAGCCAATATAATTTCACTGGCAAAAATGACACTTGATGGAGATTGTTCTACAGTTACATAAGGCATAATACCACCAATATACCCAAAATAAAGAATATTTAAAATGGATGTAACTAATGCAAATGTAACTCTATCAACATTACCACCAACATCATTTAAAAGACCAGCAGAAAGACCTAAAGTGATAATACAAAATACCGATTCACAACCACGAATACAATAAGTGATTAATTCTTTTCCTTCCATTGTATGTATATGCTTTTGTTTAGGTTGATTGATTATAAGATTATAAGATTGTTTGTTGTTGGTTGTTGGTTGTAAAAAATACTTAATAAAACAAATTGGTTGTAAAAAAACAAAAAAGAGAGAAAGAGAAAGAACTTAAAAGAATTTTCAATTAAAAGGGAAAACTTGGGGGGGTTTTAAATTGTCATTTTTTTAAATATTGTCATTTGTCAATTATCACGGTTAAGAATGTATCATAATTTATTTTTGCAAAATTTCTAAAATTAAATTTTTGATGATTGTTCTTCTTTGTTAGTGACATAAAAAATATTTTATTTTTTAATGCATATTTTATCCTGAAAGTTTTCTATGACCAAATAACAACTAAAAAATATTGGGTCTTCAGCCGTATCCAGTTAAAGCCGCGTTTTTGAGTGTGTGCTTTTTTATTTTCAGAACAAACCGTATCCTAGTCCATTTTAATTGTTATTTCTTTATTACGGAGAGGTTTCCAACATTGAAGGGTGCAAGGGGGGTTGTGAATTAATGGGCAATTTTCTATCTTTTTCTATATCTTGAACCCTTCAAATGGAAGGTATTTTTGGATAATTGGTACCTACCTAAAAAATAATCATTTCAAATGCAAATCCCCTTAAAAAAATAATATATTCTTAGTCGTGTTCAGACATTTTTCTAAAGTATAAAATTGTTTAATTCGTTCAAATGATATACGAAAGTAGAGGGGGTGGATGGCGGATGACCAAAAAAAAATAGCTACCAAAAGTTTAATTCTGCAATTCAACCTAATTGACGAACATGCAAAAAGTGACAACACCCAAAAAAAAATGTCTGATAGATGACCCACATAGCCTTTAAATGTACGAAAAATCATTTTATCAGATCTTTTTAATGCAAGTTAATGACTTAAACATAAGAGAGGCTGTTTCTTATATTAAACATTTGATAAAAAGTGGGCTTTTCCATGCTTAGAATTGTTCCATACAGTAAGGCGTAGTTAAAAATTTAATCATCCATTTAATTAACGATAAATATAAGCCACCTACTAATTTATTTACAGTTTCATATTAAAAATGTTCATGTTTGGTTATATGGGGTCAATGGGTCAATGGGGAGAGAGAGAATTTATTTTTCATGACTTGGCCTAGTTTTGTTTATGAAAAGTATAATCAGGCATCCAATTAAGAAAAAATAGAGGTAAGTAATTAGGTGAATTATTTTATCTTGTGTGTTTGATAAAGAAATAATGATCAAAAAGTGGGCTATGGGATGTAATATTTAGTCAATGATTATCAGTCTACTCGTCGTATACATTTGAAAGAGAGACAATTACTTTAAGAACGAGAGAAAGTCCGGGTTACAGAATTCTTTTTGGGGCGGGCTAAGGGCCCATGATGATGATGATGATAATGATGATGTCATGAAAATCTCTCCGCACCCCTCAAGAAAATTTATTTACTGTGGATTTTTACACTAGAGAGAGATCAATGACATTTTATTTTTTGTTAATTGTTCTCTTAAAAGAACAAAGGAAGATAATGAACATTGTAATAAACTCCCATGTGTTCCAGGTAGGTAAGTGCTGTATTAACAAACTTGCTGTCCGTGGGAAACTATTCTTTGGGTTTTGTCCTTTCAATTGAATAAGTTACACCTTTCTCTAACTTTACAGTATTCCTATTTACTTTGTTAAGTGTATAATCGATCCATTTACGAAACTTTTTAACTTCGCCTACTTGTTAATTAAGATTTATTGAAGTACAATTAGAAGTAAAAGTTCTATATTCTATTTTGCAATCGCATAAACGGTTTGCATTCTTTTCCCATTAGTGCTTTTACTTTCACATGCATGTTCATATATGAATAAAATTTATAGAACAATCAAACTTCTATAATGAATCCAAATGCTTATTGAGTTAGACGATCTCAGGTACAAATTGATTCGTTTAAGAGCTTTTTATACTCAGTAAATGGGTTTCAGGGTTTAATTATCAGACCAGAAATGAAGCTTAAAATAAAAGCCTTTCGTTTCGGACATTCTCGGCCCAAACTTCGGTCCAAGCTTTTCCAAAAATAAATCTCTCTTAATTCCTTTGGAAAGTCTCTTTCCCATATATGGAAACAATCCTGTGAATAATGGGGAATCCAAAAACTGTAAATATGGTGATTAGTATGTTCTTCTGCAAGGTACATGTCGCAATTATACGCGAATTATAAGCCTATTCACCTGAATCAATAATTGGCGGGATCAACGACGTGCAGATACGATGAAAGTTGTGCTTATTGTTTTAATTGTGTTTATTGTTTAAATGATTAGTTTGTTAACACCGAACCCTTTCGTTGACCCGATTCCGACTATTGGCCGTGAGCTTATACGGACCAAATTGATTAAGAGTTGGGTTCCCAAATTGGTTGGCCCAGGGTCCAAATTAAATTTATGGTTAATTTCTCCTAATTTATCAAAATGCAAATTCCATGCATATATCAGTTGAACGCCGCTTATTTCCAAAGAGAAACCCCAAAGGGGAAACTTTGAACCAATTAAACTTAATTGGTACATAAGTAATAGAAAGATATAGTAAAAGATATATGATCTAACTGGAAGATCTCCTTCTAATACTGATTCAAATTTATCCTTTAATGTCAAAGGTAGAGTATCTGCTCTAACCGTTATCCTTTTATGTGGTGCTAAAGACATACTACAATCACTCAGCAACAGGCTAGGATCCAACAGTGACGAAGTTTCTACTTCATCACTCTCACGTTCAACAAACCAAAAATGACCAAGGGTCTGTTCTACATTATATCTCTCATTAGAATCAACCACTAATAAATTCGAAATCAAATCCAAGACAATATCACTAATATCATCCCAATAAGGGGAATAAAATGCATATTTTCCATTAAGAATTTGTTCTTTCATATTCGGTGGGGCCAATTCATCACTAAAAGGTGGGAACCCACATAGACAAACATATAATAATACCCCAGCTGACCATAGATCAACTTTTGTAGTATAATGACGATCATTTTTCAATATTTCAGGTGCAACATATGCTGGAGTCCCACATAAGGTATTGGTAAACTTTAGTTCTCCAATAAATTTGGCTAATCCGAAATCAGCAATTTTCACTCTAACATCATATTCATTCTCATCCCAAGGTCCAGTAGGTTTTTGATCGGGACTAAGTTTAGGAGTGATATCTAATAAGATATTCTCGGGTTTTATATCTCGATGAATTATATTTTTGTCATGTAAATATTTCAATCCGGCAAGGATTTGTCTAAAGAATGCTTTTGTTTCATCAGGACGTAATTTTGATTTATTTACTATTCTTTGAAATAATTCCCCACTATTCATTTTTTCCAAAACAAGATATGTGTTCACGGAATGGGAATTTATGGGTTCGATATAATGAGAAACGAATTTCACAATATTTGGATGATTAATCGATAATAATAATTCCATTTCTTGTTTCAATTTAACATCTTCAGTTTGTTTCCCGGTTTTATTAGGATCCTTTTAAAATTGTCGCTGTTAAAGAGGTCAAGAAAATAAGAATCGAAGAAAGTGTATGGCATAATGTCCTGAACCTAATTGATTTCCCAAGATATAATCATCAAAAAAACTTGGTTTTCTCAATTGATTCTTTTTCAGGCTGATATCTTCACTATATCTAAAGATGAAAACACCTCCAGTTTTGGCAAATCGTAGTTTATCACCACTTTTAAGTACTCTTTTTGATCCTCTACCCAATATTTCATTATTTATAAATAATCCATTCGTACTCATATCCATAACACTAACATATTCCCGTTGTTGACTACCAAAGATCGTGAATTGACAATGTTTTGAAGAAACATCAGTCCCAGTTAATTTAATATCACAAGATCCACTGCGTCCTGCTATTATAGGTTCCGTTCTTTTTGGTATGGTTATATGGGGTATACTTTCTTTTGTACTGTATAATCTTGCTAATATATCATCATCAACATCAGGTTGGGGTAGCGTTTGACGTTTATTTTGATGAATCTCTTCTGCTGGTGTGGAATTTTCAAGAAATTTCTATTGGGATAGGTTGGTTAGTAAATGTTATTCTATTCAATGGATTGGATTGATATGTAATATACATACTCTCTTTCGATTATCACTGTAAACTTCCATTCCTCTCCATTACTAGACCTACTAAACTACCCAAATGAAGTGTTTGTTTTTATATTGAAATGTTTTGACTCATGCTTCTTTTTTTTTTCCCTACTCGGTGAAAACACTACGCGTCTTCTCAGATCTTTTTTGGGTTAAGACCGAATTATATAAACAGACCTGTATTGACATTTATGGTAGGTAGAGGCGATTGTGGAGATAAGAGAGTTATCCACTTCTAATGTTCTAGTAATTTTAGAAATTACGTTGATTAAAAGATTCTCTGATTGAAAAGGTCATAAACTGCAACCGGAATCGAACTTAAAAAAAGCGTTCTAAAGTAAGATCAATTTAGCCAAGTAAAGATCAACAAACACTTCTTGATTATCTTGGCGTTTTCATCTTAAAGTTAATTAATTCACAAGGGACTTAATCCCCCTAAGAAGAATTATTTTGACCCCATATTTTTCTTGGAACTTTTTCACGACCTTGAGAATCTATGACTAAGTGCTGAACATCATATTCACCAATGGTTTGGGAATTTCAAGTTTCATATTTCATCTCCTCAAAAACTGATGAGAATCTACTCTGGTAAACCTAATAAAGAATCCAGCCAAATTAAACGAAAGCCGTAATAAAGTTTCATAGCCAAAAATCGAGTCAGCTTATATTAGAAAACGTGACTTACGTGTGACATTCACATGACCAAAACTTTTCTCCGCAACTCAGAATTTTGTTATGATTTGGAAATCTTGACTAATTTATATATTAAATCCCAGGAAATATCATAGTATGAAAAGAGTGGACGTAGCTTAATGGCAGAAGTATATTCTGCTAAAGCTATTATTAAAGAATAAGAAAATTTGGTGTATTCAAGTTAGTTTTATTTTTGTTGCAAAATTTTGCAACAAGTTTTACTAGAATTCAATAAAGAGGGTGAGATCTATAAATAACTTGTTGTAAGTTTAATTTTTATTCAATTAGTTAATATATATATAAGCACCAATTAAGAGGTCAAATAACTAGCCGTTTGACGAGGGTGCAAGAAATACTATTAGCCAATAAAATGGGAACTCCGAATGGCAGCTTATATCCTCCCTTCCCAAACAGGAAAAACGCAGTATGTTTGAATTGCATCTAGAAAATAAACAAATGGCTGGTTACATGAGAATGGGTCTGGTTGTACATAATACATTAAGTGAACCTACAGATCGAATTGGTTTATAATTTATATACAGTATAACCAGATTCAAAACCGCATTCAAAGTAGGGTGCGCATTTGAGTTATATATTGGAGGGGGTTTATTTATGGAATCAGCTGGAATGATCTAGATTAAATTTACAAGTTAATATTCATTGGTAATGGACAAACCAATGTTAATTTGCGACATATTTGCCGATTAGAGAATAATTTGAAATCATCTTAAATGCAAATTACTATCTGAAAAAATTTCAATTAATATTTTTTAGAAAAATTAAAGGTGCAAATTAAGCAGTTGTGCATTTCGCTATGCATGAAGGGTACATAAATTTCAAAACCCCTCTACTTGATTGAAAAACAATACGATTTCCCTGGTTACTTTCTGCATCTAAAATGTCTTTCTAGGAGAAGTATAATTGAGGTAGACAAATGATATGGATCAAAGGCGTTTTAGGTTTGTGGGAAGATCCGACTTCCATCACTAAGGCCCAGAGGGTCGATATACATGTACATGTACATGTCAATAAATTGAAAGTTGAGAATGCAATCTTGCATTTGTCATTTTTGTATTCTAAGAGCAGAAAATGGCTGCCAAACTTTTTACAATTTAATTAATTAAAAATTCCTATTGTGCTTCCTTCTCATGGTGTACCTCAAGAATTGTGGTTGTGGTTAAACTTTTAGCCGACTATATAGCCTGTAGTTTGTTACTTTTCACGAAGGGAATTGGTACTAGGTGGTAGTACATGTATTACCGTTGTTGTTTAGACTGATCTAAAGTTTACGAATTACTTTATGAGTTTCTTAGTCAGATCTAGATCTTAGACATTTAACTTTGAAACAACATCCTACAAAGCCTATAATTATGTCTGTTTACATTCTTAATTGTGAAATAATAATTGCACAAAAATTGTTCACTATTAAATTCAAAAAAAAATATATTTTTCGGCTATTTGTTTTCATAAGCATTTTAAAACTAAAAACGATTTTTCGTGTCTAATTAATTAATTTCATGTGAAATGGAATAATGTACGTGTACTGTAATTAAATCAGGATTCTACCTATACCAATTTATATATAGTGAACATGTAATTGAATGCCAATATCTGCTTAATTAAATTTTACATATTTAGTGTAATAAGTGTAAATTATCATTTGAAACTTGAAAAATAATTGGATAACAATAGACGACATTGAAAAGACATTTGTCGTACCTGGTTTTTTTTTTCAGTTTAAACAATAGTTAAACTGTTAAAAATTGAATTTTAATGCAATAAAAAGGATAAAAAATAATCAAAAAAACTTTCAACCAAAAAAATTTTAAAATTTTAAAATTTTAAAAATAAAATTAAAAAAATAATTTTTTAAAAAAAAATCAAAAACGAAAAAAAAGAATGCAGAAAGAATTTTTTACATATTAAAAACCAAATTTTTTTTCTGACAACCAAAAAATTTTAAATTAAAAAAATTGAATAATAAACCCATTTTTATTGAACACACGCACCCCCTAGGGCTAAACAAATAAAGTCACGTAGTTTGAAAAATTGATTCTAGAGTAATGAATTTAATTACAGGTTATAAAGATTTACAGTAAAACTATAAAACCCAACAAACAAAAAACCATCATTACATAACCCACTGACTAATTAACAAACAAACAGACAGACAGACAGACAGACAGACAGGGTTTTTGCACCACATTCATTTTCAACAACAACAACAACAGTCAAACAAACAGACAAACGCAGACAGACAGACAGACAGACAAAGATCAATAGATATGGACACATTAACACAACTACCTCCAACTTCTAATCATAATAATGAAGATGGTTTAGTATTAGGATCTCCTATTCATCATGTACACAACAACAATAACAACAATACATCCTTTGAAGAGAAACAACAACAACAAGAAGAAGAAGATGATGATCACAATTATCCATCACCAAAAATTGATTCTTATTTCAAAGATACTTCATCACTTAATGAAAAGTCATCGGTACATTCAACTGATGAATCTGAAGTACAAGATGAAACTCTACTAGAAGATCAAATAGAACAACAACAACAACAACAACAAGAACAAGAGCAACAGCAACCAGAACAAGAACAAGAACACGAACAAGAACAGCAAGAAATTAAAGACAGCCATAACGACAGCCAACATCACGATGAATCACAAGAAGATCAAGAAGATGAAGAGCAAGAACAACATCAAGAGCAGGAAGTTGAAGAAGAGCAACAAGAGCATGAACAATCACAAGATGATCAAGCTTTTGAAGAAGTAAATACAAGTGAATCTGATTCAGCACGAGATAGTCAAAACAAACCTACAAGACTGCCAGGTAATTTCAATGTCACTGGTTTGAAACAAGATGGTGATGAGCAAGATCAATACAATGAATTAAAGAATACTTTAAATAAGACTGAAAGTTCAGAGTTTGCATCACCATCATCAGCTAATGGATTTCATTCTAATCTGGATTTAGTTGTTGATCAATCAGATTCAATTTTACAACAATTAAGAGGTAAAGGACAATCAGAAGAATCTTTCAAGAAGAAATCAATATTTCCTGCTTTACATTCAAGAATGAATGATCCAGAATTACCAAAAAGACATTTTGAAAAAGAACTTGAATTAGAACAACAACGATCAGATATTGGTAGTCCTGCTCTTTCAGATTCTTCAGCATTTCAATTCATAGATACAAGAGATGAAGTTAGTACTGCTATTGCTGCTACTGCTGCTTCCAATAGTCAATCAAACAATACCCAAGAAAATGGAGTTTCATCATCTAACCTTGTCAAATTTCGTTTACCTTTTGCTTGTTGAGTTCTTAGTTCTACATCTACAGACTTATTAAGAGAAGATATTTTACAAAGGATTGCTACTATGGATAATCTAGACGATGGGAATTTAGATTTATCACCTGAAAAGAGATCCGCCAGCGATGACATAGATTCATGTTCAGTTTCTGATGACGAAGAAGAAGATGGAGAACAACCAGACAAGACAGTTGTTCAACATGAAGTATCATCTCCAACCACATCTTCTTCAGTATCTCCAATAAATTCAAGTAATCAACATTATAAGTCTTTAATAGATTCTGGCTCTACACAAGCACCAAGATTAGCGTCAAATGCTACAGTAATAAGGAGTCCCAAAACACGTCCTCCACCAGCACCTCCAACTACTTCAACCACTGCTCATAATCAAACAGCTGCTATAACTCCACTTATGCAAAATTCTAATAAATTTGGTCAGTCATCTCAATTGGAAAATTTGGGTATGGGATTAGTTAATGGTTCTGCAAATTCAAATGAAACCAAGAAAAAGAGAAAAAGTGGTAGTCGTAAAGTTCGTGATGTTTTATCTTCAATGTTTGGTAAAAATAGATCATCATCAGGTTCTATGGGTTCAACTCCAAGTACATCAAGTCCAGAAATTAATATTAAAATCAGTACTCCATTCAATGCTAAACATGTTGCCCATGTAGGTGTAGATGATAATGGTTCTTATACCGGATTGCCTATAGAATGGGAAAGATTATTATCTGCAAGTGGTATTTCAAAGACTGAACAAGAACAACATCCGCAAGCTGTTATGGATATTGTTGCATTTTATCAAGATAATAATGAAAATGGTGATGATTATGCATTTAAGAAATTTAGATTTGATGGTGATAAGAATGAATCTTGGTCTTCCAATCCTGATACTCCAGTTTCACCAGTTAAGACTACATTTTCAAGTGAAAGTCCAGAAGGAAGTAGGACTCATAGTTCTTCATTCACTTTAGATGATAAACCACCAGCATCAACATCTTCATTACAACCTTCAGCTATACCGAAAACCCCAACTTCTCATTATGAAACTCAATTTATTCCAAGTAGACCAGCACCAAAACCGCCTTCTACTCCAACGTTGAAACCTTCACATCCAGGAGGTTCAAGTCCAAATGCTCAACAAAATTCTCAATCGGCATCATATGCATCACAATCATCAGCAACTGGATCATCCATGAAATTAGTAGGACGTTCAATATCTGCAATTTCTTTAAGAAGAAAGAGTGAAAAGGGAATCCATGCTCCATCAGCTCCAATACCTCCATTACCTAAGATTCCTAAATCAAAATCCCATTCTTCATCATTAGCAAGTCATATAGCTAAACCTTTCACTGGACCAACTACTGCACCAATCAGTTCGACTGCAAGATTTGATTCAGGGCAGCAACAACAACAACAACAACCATTACCTAGGCAGAGAGGGAAGGATGAGTTTAAGGCTCATCGTGCCCCACCTCCACCACCAATATCAATAAATAAGTCACAGGTAGATGCCGTTAATCTTGCCGCCCCACCTCCACCACCACCTCCTCCTTCACATGGAGTGATAGCGCAACAATCATCAGAAGGCAATGTTGTAGTTGTTGATGAAGCTAGTGATGTCCCACCACGTTCGATTCCACAACAGGCATTGGCTGATATAACCGGTTCAACCACTGAACAATTCGAGAAAACCCAACTACAACAACAACAACAACCGCCACCAGCAAGAAAACAACTGCAGACAGCAGTACGTGATGCCAAACAAGCCGCTATTCTTTCTCAACGTAAACGAGAAGAAAAAAGACGTAAGAATCAACAAATCATATCCAAATTACAAAGTATCTGTAGTCCAGGAGATCCAAATGAATTCTATACCGATTTGGTCAAGATTGGACAAGGTGCAAGTGGAGGTGTTTATATTGCTCGTGATAAAGTGAATAAAGGTAGTGTAGCCATAAAACAAATGAATTTAGAACAACAACCTAAGAAAGAATTAATCATAAATGAGATATTGGTGATGAAGGGCAGTAAACATCCAAATATTGTTAATTTTATTGATTCATATTTGTTAAGAGGTGATTTATGGGTGGTTATGGAATATATGGAAGGTGGATCATTGACTGAGATTGTGACTCATAGTGTTATGACAGAAGGACAAATTGGGGCTGTTTGTAGAGAGACTTTGAAAGGTTTGAAATTCTTACATTCAAAGGGGGTCATTCATCGTGATATAAAATCAGATAATATCTTATTGGATATAAATGGAAATATCAAAATGACTGATTTTGGATTCTGTGCTCAAATCAATGAATGGAATGTTAAGAGAACCACCATGGTGGGTACTCCTTATTGGATGGCACCTGAAGTTGTATCAAGAAAGGAATACGGTCCAAAAGTTGACATTTGGTCTTTGGGTATTATGACTATTGAAATGATTGAAGGTGAACCTCCATATTTGAATGAAACTCCTTTGAGAGCATTATATTTGATTGCAACCAATGGAACACCTACATTAAAAGAACCAGAAGCTTTGAGTTATGATATTAGGAAGTTTTTGAATTGGTGTTTACAAGTTGATTGTAATAAGCGTGCAAGTGCCGATGAATTGTTACATGATAAGTTTATTTTGGAAAGTGATGATTGTAGTTCTTTGAGTCCATTAGTTAAGATTGCAAGAATGAAACAAGCTAATGAAGGTCAGGATGAAGAGTTGTAAGGAGAGAGAGGGAGTTTTTATTTGTTACATATTAGAAGGATTTATAATTAAGTGTACATTAGAGATTAGTTTATAGTTTGTGTTTTTATTTTATATCATTATTATTAATTAACTATTAAGAGCTTATTAAGCTTATGGTTATACATCTCTTTAAATGACATCAATTAAATATTTAACAATTCTAGTTATACCAAAGAATTCATGATTATCAATCTTATCAATTGCCTTATGATGATGAATCAGTTTTAAAGTACTTATTAAATGATTCTCAAAGAAGAACGTAGAATCATGTAAACCCCAAGGTTCCATATATACTCTAATCTTTGCCTTTTCATCATTTATATATTCATGTCTCTTTGGATTGAATTCTCCATGAGAATCATAATGATTCATATCATAGAAAGGACATTTAAGTGCCCATTTACACCATTCCAAAATATCATCCCTAAAAGTCTCATGTTCACCAAGAATAACACACGCACCAAACCCTTCTTCAGTCAAGGTTGGAATCTTTTCCCAATCAGAATGATCATAAGAGTTATTACCAGGTGAAACCATAATATGACCAAAATCAGCATCACCCAACAAATCATCTTTTCTATCAAGTTCTCTAAATAATGGGAATTGAATCATATCTCGATCATGATTATCATGATATGAACCCCCTGGTAAATTTTGATGATCATCAGGTACCACTTTACACCAAGGACTAACGAGGATGACATGTTTAGGATAAGGTAAATGAAGGTTTGGATGATGTCTAAGATATTGCATAAACACGATCGAAAGATGTCCACCAGCTGAATCTCCTAATAAGATAATGTTCTTATTACCTTCTTTAACTAATTTATCATAAGTTTGGAGCAAGTCATGAAGTTGATTGGTCATGGGATATCCATGACTTGCTAATTTATAATCAAGATGCAACACGGTTAGTTTCCTTTGTTTCTGGACGGGCAATAGATGATAGATACATAATAATGATTCAGCTTGTTGTGGAACCGTACCAAAATAATAACCACCTCCATGTAAATAAATAATTACTGGATGAATAGCAGGATCCCTAAAGGGTGAATCAACAATATAATAACTATGGTCATCAAATTTCTCTCCATATGAATGTAAATTGGTTAATTGAGGATATAATACTTTTAATAATTTATTTAATAAGAAATGTGAACTCATAATTGATAATACAGCTGAATCTCTAACTGGAACAGCAAGGGCTAATCGACAAACATAAAGTTTTAAAGATTTAATTAAATTTGTTCTAAATTTTTCATTTATACCTCCAGCAAATGGATATTTAACTAAGAAGGCTAATAATTTGAATGGAATTCTGACAATGAGATATAATCCTCTTAAACTGACCATACTGGAAGGGACGTCTTCGGAATTGTAGCTGGTGCTAGCTTTGGATGCAGATCTTGTTGATTTGGATTTGACCGGCATCTTTTTGTTAAATAATCTGGGGGAGTAATTAGATGGGGTATTTATAGTTGATAGCTAATTAAGTAATGTTGCAGACAAGGGTTATGTCGATAGGTGAAGGAATGATAATAATAATAATAATAATGTGGGGGAGGAGGAGATGGAGGAAGTAAGGGAGTTAAGTGAAGACAATAGAAATAGTAATGAAATAAAGGAAAAATAAACTGAAATAAATGGAAATAGTTAAAAAAAACAGTAAATCCATAAACCTTAGCCTAAGTAATACCAGTGGGGTATTGAAAAACTTTATTAATAGTGTTAAGTATACCTGAGGTTTAAGCCGTCATTGAAATATTCACATGAAAATTGAAATGGGTGCAAAATTTTATTTTTTCTTCGCTTTTTATTTATTTCTGTTGTAGTTGTTGTTTAAATGAATGTTTCAGTTGTAGTTGTTGTTTAAATGAATGTTTCAGTTGTAAGAAAATTATCACAGGCTAAAGAAACGCCAAACGTGTTAACCGTGACTATAGGGGAAATGTGGGGGAGGGAGTGGTGGTTGGTTGGTTGGTTGGTTGGTTGGTTGGGTAGGTTACAGTTGACATAGACGTATTTATAATTAAACAGAGATACATAGAACGATAGAATAAACTCGAAGGTTATCTTTGTCTGTCCATTTTAAAGTTGGGATGGATGCAATTTAAAGTAAAGACAATTAGGAAAACTTTTTTTTTTAATAATAACTTCGTATTTTAAGGTTAACGAAAAAGTCAAAATGCTTTGAGGAGAATGAACTTACTCAATTGGAATAGTCTATAAAGCCGATTAGATTATTGATGACTGCTCTTCTTCTTGTTTGCAACTTTGCAACCTCAGTGTCCACACGGAAATAGTATGCCAAGGAATGATGACGGAAGTTGACTCGACGGGGGGTTACCAGCGGGTTGTTCTTGTCACATTTTTATTGTTTTGATTTATTCTATTGTTAAATGCGGTATTT